TTTGAGGAAATAGGTTCCTAGTATATTGAGGTGACGATTAGGATCTTTAATTTATAAGAATTATTGTTTATAAGTTAATTCTTTGATTTTGTCGAATTCCAAAGGGGAATAGAATTAAGTTAGAAATAGATTGATTTGAGTTTGTCGGGTTGATTCTTATTGAATTTCATTGAATAAATTATTGTTTGATTTTTACTAAATACTGTATATAATTTATTAATAGAAGTTTAATTAAATATTTGATTTTGTTATTGACAAACGTATGAATTCCTAGATTCGGTGCACGCTAAAAGTCCAGGCCTGGCACACTAACGCGAATCCGCGTAAAGTACCCGTTAGGGAACGGCTATTTCCGGCACACAGTCGTGTCGTTAATCGTTGGAAAAGTCGGAAAAATAATATAGTACTTTACAATTATATTGATTAATAATAATATTTATCAATTTTCTAAACTATTCTGTATAAGTTGTGATGTTGTCATGTCTAAATTTCATCTATTTTGCACTTGTAATAAGGCTCAAGAGTTACATAAACAATATAATCTTGAAGCTTTAATCTCCAAAAATAATGAAAATTCTATGTATCTTTTTTTCCACTATTCAACTACGCACAAAAATATTTTGTTATTAACCAACCAATTATACTATCTTTGTAATTACTCCTTTGTTAAATATAAACAAAATTAAGATTGTATTGTTAGAGATTGTCCTTTTAGACTATTCGTCTTAAATTGATTTATGTTACTCTTTACTTATAATTTGTTATAATAATACCAACTTCTTGTAACAGGCATAAGCCTATTATAAATAAAGTTAATTGATGATGATATATTTAAAACTACAAAATACATTTTTCAGTGTTTTCCTTACTATACTTTTTTTTTTTTTAATATACTACTTAGTTTTAATTTGAGTGTGTTTTGGTGTTGGAATGAATTATTTGGTTTTACATGTAATCATATGGGGAAAAATGATTCACCTTACAACATTTTCATGATACAATCTCAGTTTCGAAACGAATTAATTTCATATCCTGAGGTACCACTGTAGTACTGTGTAATAAAATCGCAACTGATATTGTTTTTATATTGACAGTATTTGTCTTTAAATGTCATTATTGTTACAGAAACAATAATGCTAAACGGGCATTTGTGGTATCGATGTATATGTAAACTTCAATTAATACAATATAACCATGAATAAAATTCAGTATTTCAAAAACTAAGTTTATTTTATATCAGACACTTGCTGATAAAAGAACAGAGAATAGAGATTCCATAGATTGTATTATCTGTTTAGTATAAACTCATAATTTATAGTACTCAGTTATATCACACTGCCAGATATATTGTGCTTTTTCTTTGTCTCCTGACAAGCACTAAATAATGAGAGGCAACTGTATTAATTTTCAAATTTTTAATGTAACTGCCAAATATTTCAAAGCTGACTGAACATAATTAAACAGTTCATTTTATCAAAGTTTAATAGATGTTTGATTGTTATTAAAAACCATAGATTTTTTTCTTACATACTAGATTTAGTCAGTTATAAACAGAAAAGTTGTATTTATAACAAGCTTAAATGGTTAATTTAATCTGTTAGCTGCTCCAATGGTCATTTCAATTTCTGATATTCATAAAATTTGAGAAAAAAAATATATATTTAATTAGAATAAATTCACTAAAATTAAATATTTAATTATTAACACAAACTGTTATTTCTGTACTTGTTATTCTGTTCAATTTATAAATATTTTACAAATATAATGAAATAAATTGCAAAAAGTTTCAACATTTTATAAAAACAAATACTATAAATAATTGTATTAAAATAAAGAGCTACCCTTTAAAAACATAAAAATTACATATTTTAAGTAATATTATACTGAATTTCATTCATAATAAGTAAAATTCTAGTAAAATACAAAACTTTGTGTAAAGTAGTTTACACACAATAAAAAAAACTTTAATTCTATTAAATTGGTGAAATTTTGTGAACTCAAATATAGATTATCTTTATGAATCTTGAAAGTAAATATGATACCACTTTTCAATATAATCAATTAAATAAAATTTAACTACAAAAATTTTAAAAATCTCAATAATTTCAATAAAATACTTTTAAAGATTATGTATGAATAATTATCTGATGATAAAAAATGATTCTAATTCTATCTTCATAACAGTACTAAACTTTTTCTTAATGTTCCAATAATATAAGCACTAAATATGAATATTTACAACAAATAAAGAATGATATATTTTATAAATTATAAAAATGAGAGTAAAACTTTGTAAACAAATCATAAATAAAGTGCTTTTACTTTCTTTCACTGTTTAAAATATTCAAATATAAAAAGTAAAATTTTTGTAGCTTCAATTATTTTATTCATAATTATTATCTAATAAAATAATTTGATTAAACTAACAAAAACAGAGACATTTAATAATGTACTTTAATAAGGATTTGCACAGTAGATACTTTAATTAACTTAAATATAACAGTATTTTTATAATAGTTTGATTACTGTATATCACTTACATCAAGACTGTCTTCATTAATAACGAGCAATGGCATGCCTTGATTTAATAGTCTGCAAGAATAGCCTGCAAAGATTACATGTATAAGATGAATAATATATTTATTTATTTATGTTCTTTCAGAACTGTTAACTTTATAAAAATAATCACTATAAGAAGTTTAAGAGTGGCAAGAATCAATTCTAAAAATCACCACCACATTAAAATACTACATTCAACAAAGTCAGATTTTACACCTGTTTATAATGCAATTATTTCTAAACAGGTTCAACAGAATTTAGTAAGTTATTTGAAACTTGCTGTAATGAAATAATTCTACACATTTTTGACACAAGAGTGCAAGATTTATCATAATAATGACAATATATTGTGTAATCTTGCTTTGAAGTCTTGTTAAAATATTATTATCACAGTAGATCATCTCATCATAGAAGTCTAGTTATTCAAAAACCTTTAAAACTATAAAAATTTATATGTTTATTAAGTATTCTAGTATCTCTTGAAAACACTGTCCATTTTGCTTATAAATAAAACTGCATATACATGAGTGTAAACCAAGAGAGTAAATTAATTTGTTAGTTAAACATAAATAATTTTACAGTTACATGTAAATTAAATAAATTATATATTATATTTTAAAGAAGTGTTTCCTGTTAAATTTATTTTAGAGAATAATATAACAACTTGTAATTAGTGCTGTATTTCTTTAATCTCATTTAATTAATAAATACAGAAAGTTATCTAATTGTACATAGTAATTCTAAATGATGTTCCTGATTTCAATTAAGTTTTATACAAAGTGTAATGAAGCTGTCTTGTTGGTAGAAATGTGCTTTGGAAGATTATCTCTCAAAATTTATTTTTCTTGCTGCAATTTTGTATTAAGTTCCACTGGCTTTTGACAGAGACAGCTTAGTCAAACAGAGAAAAATGATGACTAAAAACAGCATAAAACATTCTAAATTCTTGATTTTCATTCAAATTCATCTGTTGTGGTTGTTCAACAGCATTTCTATACAAAATTTGGAATTAACTCATCTTCCAGTAAGTCAATTCAAAATTGGTATTTCCAATTTCAAGAGATTGGCTGCATTTCATGAAAGTAAGAGAAAAATCATCAGGCCATCCATCAAGGAAAGAAACAGTGGAATATGTGGAATATGTCTATGCAATCTTCACAAGACGTCCTTGGAAGTCTACCTAACAAGCAGGCCAGGAACTAGATACTCTGCAGACAACTGTATGGTGAGTGGAAACATCTGGTAATGAAACCATACTGTTTCTGCAAGCTCTGACAACATCAGACTTAGACTTGCAAATATCTTTCCCTTTGAATCTGCCGCATTTCATAGAAAGTTGGTGTTTAGTGAGGAAGCAACATTCCACATTTCTGGAGAAATGAATAGACATAATATAAGAATTTGAAACTGAAAATCCCCATTCAGTTTTGCAACACAAATGCAATTCCTCCAAAATTAACATCTGTGCCATTTCTATCAAAAGATTTATGGAACTCTTTTTCATGAAGCTACTGTGACAGATACTATATCTGGACATGTTGACACAATGACTATTTCTACAGCTCAAGGAAGACAATATTTACTTCATTTTTCAGCAGAATGGTGCATCACTGCATTACCATATGATGTTTAGGCTACCTCAATGACAGGCTGCCTGAACATTGGATTGGCTGTGCAGCTATGAGATCAAGAACTGTTATGTTAGCCACCACAATCCCTACATATCATCCTGTGTGATTTCATTTTATGGAACTTTATCAAGAATCATGTGTTTTGCCATTACGTGCTTAAATACAGGTTGATCTGAGCATGTACAGTACATCACTGCAGCTGTCACAGAAAGTTATGCTGACATGATAGGCGGAGTTTGGCAGGAACGTGATTATAGGCTTGATGTGTGTTATGCTACACATGGGATCACACATTGAACATTTGTAGTAGGTAAGAAAAAAAACTTCTTTTGGATTCATGTAAATGTACACATTCACTTTTACAAAATTGTGAGAATCAGGATTTAGGGGGGGAGTCATTTTAAAGATATTAATGGAGAAAGAGAATGTTTTATTTTCGACTAAAAAATTATTTTATTTCGGAGAGAAGTTAAACAAAGAAAAGATGTAGCTTCTGTCATTTTAAAAAGAAGGGAAGTAAACTTCCTTTCTTATGGCCGACTTGGAAGTTGAGTCAGAAGTGGCCGCACGAGACTTGGCCATCTGTTAGGCCATCGACTCGTATAAAAGGGACATTTTCCTGCCACTCCTGGCAGTTCAACTAGGTACAAACATGCCATAGGAGGCAATTCATCGAAAGTACTTGCCATATAACATACGATGAAGGTCGTTCCATGATAAGAGGACCGCCACATAGATTTCGACCATACTGTAATAGTGCATCCATAGATGTTACGATTCCTAAACATCTCTCTGACCCTGAACGAGAAGACAGCGTTCACATACAAGATACTTACGGAATTTGTGAAGGTAGTATAAATCTGTTAGATTGATGTGAACTCTCTCTCCGCCCATAAACGTTAGATCTCACGCATATAGGCGTATATAATATACATGTCGAAATTTTCCCCACGGGGGAGATGGACAGGATTAAGGCTTATCGTGAAGAACTCTGCTTCTATTTATACTATTTTAGATGCGGTTTTTTGCATTTTTGATTCCATTTTAATAGGGTACGTCAAGAGAAGGGATTTTTCGAAAAATACTAAGAAGAGATTTTTTGAAAAATTTCCCCATGGGGATGTGTTATACATTTATAGTAGATACATTTTGAGCCATAACAATGCATGGAGGGGTGTGCTAGTATTCTATAAAGCCTTAACATCATGTTTCCTAAGAGCATTACTCAAGCATTGACACACAAAAACCTTTATATTGAAGCCTTTTAATTTGAAATTTACTAACATTTTCAGCCCTTTTGAAAGGCCTTCGTCAGGAACAGAGCAATCAAATGATTCCAGAACAAATATAGGTTTTGAAATTAGAATCATTCGATTGTTCTGTTCCTGATGAAGGTCTTTCAAAATGGCCAAAAATGTTAATAAATTTTGAATTAAAAGGCTGCATTATAAAGGTTTTCATGTGTCGATGCTTGAGAATTAATACTCAAGTGCAGTTAAAGAAGAATTTACTGAGAGCAATCTTATCACAGTGATTTCTTCATCTAGGTTAGCAATTTCTGCAAGTTTTTGTTTCTTCTGAAATAAATCTCCTATCTTCTTTCTTATAATAAACTTTTCTTTTGTTCTGCCTTTCTCTTTTTCTAGTTTGATTCCTGTTAAACACTTATTTAATTTGCTTTCTATCATGTCCTCAAATCTTGCAAATTTTATCTATTTCTAATTAAGACAGACAGTTGAAACTAATAACATACCATTTTAATGATGACAATCCATTTTAATAATGTTTTAGGGATTGGCCCACCACTACTATCCTCCCCATTCCAAAACCTGACAAATATAACTAAAGTTGATTGTATTTAATTTTAAAACAAACAAAAAATATGTAATCTGTAATATATTTAAAGTAAAAATGGTAAAAAAAAAATTCATTTTTACCATTATTACTAACTTTTTGTAAATGCAATGTAGGCATAATAAACAACTTTTATACAAGCTGATACCAAGAGTGAATACAGCAATAACACACTCAGATAAAACTAATAACTTTAAAAGCAATTATATATACAACTTTAAACTTATTAGTAATTTTATTATATATATTTAAAACTTCATTTTCCAAATTATCTTTATAAAACTAAAATTACTTACCACATTTCAAAATAAATGTGGTAAGTAATTTTTTCTGCAGTAAACTTGTAACTTTATAGCCATCTAATACATATTATACAGTATTTTAACTATTATAAATGGTAACATATAAGCAGCATAATTAATAAATTTAATTAATTTAATTACCAATATTAATTGCTGTTTCTTGTTTATCTCCAGTTAAAACCCATACTCTTATATCTGCTTTTAATAAATCATTAATAGCTTCAGGAACACCCTTTAAAAAATTGTTTTAAATCAAACAAAAATTACAAAAACCAATTCAAGTTTTTTAATTAAATTCAAAGATTAAAATTTTTCAAAATTATCATCTAAAAATTAAACTTTTCATATAGTAATAATTTCTTTTTATTATAAAATATAAAGCAATACTAAAACATACTTCTTGTAACCTGTCTTCAATGGCAGTTGCGCCTAGAAGAATCAAATTCTGAAAAAAAGTTTTTTTTTTAAAATGAGATTAATGTATATGCTACTGTAAATACTCAAACTATGGTAAATCCTAAGATCTTCCAGTAAAACCTAAGATTTACCAAATCTTTGTGGTAAATGTCCAAAATGTTCTGAGATCGTTAATTTTGAATTTTTACCAGCATTTACTCAGTATATCTTAGGTTTTACCTCAGAGACATGGTAAATGTTGAAAAAATAGTCCCTGCTACCCACACAGCGGTCTTCGCTTTGCCACATTCCATCGTTTGACACATTAGCACACACACATTAATTCTAATCCTGTTTGAGATTTCGCTGTTTAAAAGTTATTTATGAATCAAGATGAGTGTGAAATGGAGATTTTATGAAATAATGGACAAGCTCATGGCAAGCAAGAAAGATTATAACTTTTATCTCAATAGGGACAAATACGCAAAGCAAACACAACAAACATATAAAGCATTACGACATTTTGATTATAGGCGGTGAAGAAAAACTAGGTGCGCCTATGAAGGAGGAGAATGGAGAAATAAGGTATTAGATTTGTTATGAGGACTTATTCAACATTCTCAAAGAAACGCATGTTGCTGTTGGTCATGGTGGAAGGACACAGATGCTTAAGAAATGTAACCACAAGAATAAAAATGTAACAGTTAAGGCTACTATGACATATTTGAAGCTATGTCAATCTTGCCAAAAGAAACAGAAGACTTTGAAAAAGGGCATTGTTGTCAGACCTATACTTCACAGTGAAATGAACTCTCACTGTCAGGTTGATCTAATAGATCTACGAACTACTCCAGATGGAAATTATAAATTCATTTTAGTTTACCAAGACCATCTTTACCAAATTTGTGATCCTTTGTGTGCTTCAAACTAAATGTGCCACAGAAGTTGTACCATCTTTTGAATATTTTCACCACTTCAGTAGTGTCGAGCATCCTTCATTTCGATAATGGTTGAAAATTCTCTAACCAAGTTATTGAGAGTTTATACGCCACGTGGCAGGATGTAAAAATCGTACATGGAAAGGCAAGACATAGCCAAAGTCAAGGATCAGTGGAGCATGATAATCAAGACATAGAAAATATGTTGAGCATGTGGATGGAAACCAATCAGTTATCAAAGTGGTCAGAGGGTTTAAGATTTATCTAGGCAATGTAAAAAAAAGCATATCACAAGGGAATCAAATGTTCCCCCTACGATGTTTGGTAGTCCAATGAAAATGGGCGTTGCAACTTCAGCAATCCCTAGTGATATGATTAGAGTTATAAAATCTGAAGAAGATTTAGAGAAGTTGTTGCATTCGCATGACAATATGAAACAAAATAATGACGTCGAAAATGCAATCAAACAGGACAAGGAAGAAAGCATTGTTGAAAATGAGTCAGAAGGGGATATAGACAATAGCACTGTCAACGATAAAACACAAGAAGATGAAATGATTATTACTGAGAAGATGAAGGCGAAGAATATAACTGAAGATTCCAATGTAACGATTCAGAGACATAAAATACAATTGAGTCTTAGGAAGTTCTTGTAACTATAGAGTCAATACCAAAAAAGATAGAATCTGTAGTGACTATAAGAAACAATGCAAAATTGAGTTTGGAGAAACAAGCTGAAAAAATGAAAGCCACGTCTGTTGATAAATATCCAAATGTGAAAACTGACCAAAATGTAAGACTGAAAGTGCCCGAAATTGACAAAGCTAAAACTGACCCGAAAAGCATTATTGCAGTCATAGTAGATCTAAAGGACAATGAGTTTTACCAACTAGGTACCAAAATTGAAGTACTAAAGCAGCTTTATACACAAAATCAATTTACCTCATGCCCTGAAGACTTTATCAAGATAGAAGAAGTTGTTAAAGATAAAGAAGTGAGTGAGAAGTTGTCGCAAAATTGTCTTTGACCGGGGGACAAGGTTTCAAGAAATGCAACTGCCTAAAAAAATGCATAACGAAGAAGTGTGCTTGCAAGTCATCAGGATTACTTTGTAATTCTAAATGCCATGATAACTCTCCATGTAATAACAAGTAAAATCCTTTCTTTACTTTTATTAAATGACAATGACTATCAAATGATTAGAAAAAAATATTGTGATTACTGACTAGACTGATTAGCTTAGCCAACATAGGCTATTATATTATTTTTGACAAGATAATTTAATTTTTGTTATGTTAAAAAGTATTTTTAAACTGTTTTACTAGTTATTAATAAATAGGACTTAGTAAGTTGACTGCTTATAATAATTGCAATAAATGTTTATTAAAATACTCATAGTAAATGTTGGTTTTGGAAATAAAACTAACAGTCTTTAGTAAATCCTAGCATGTAACAAATTTCAATGGTAAAAGCCCGGAAAATCATCTCACTGTATAAAAATCCTTACATTTACCAACTTATGTTGGTAAATCCGAAAATTTACAAATAAAACCTAGGATTTACCAATATATGGGCTTTTACAGTAACATATACATTAAAATTTTTTTCAGTTACTTGAAATGAAAATTATCATAAAAAGAATATTTTTATTAATTTATATATTTTAAATAAATTCCCTGATCATTAGAACTTTCAAAGCATTTCATATATTACAACCCTTTAAATAAAAAATATCACCGATACTATTTAAAATTACTGTTTTTTGAATATATAAAAGAATATTTTATAAAAATCTGTTTATACATACTGTTATAATTTTTCTTACTTATAATAAAAATTTATTGTAGAGAATCTAATTTGTTAACGTTGTCTCAAACTTAAATGTAAATGTGAGAGAATGCAATATTATTTTATAACAATTATCAAATGAACTTTATTCTCAAGTTGATTGCAGAAATATTTTGATAAATATTTCAGACAATACTAACCTTATTTCTTTAAAACTGATTATTATATTATTAAATTGTATCATCTATATAGTACTTACTGTTTCAATTAATTGTGCAGCATCTTCTATTTTTTGTTCTCTATATTGCATAGAGGTACTTGCTTTAAAATAAGTGTGCTTCCATTCCTACAATTAAAATTTACTTTTATTTCAAAATAGAAATTCTAAAATACTATTTCAAATTTTGTTTCTATACATTAATTTTAAAAAGTAATATAGGAAAGTTCATTTAGTTATTTGAGTATCTTACTTGTACTCATAATATAATGAAATTAATCTTTAATGTAAATTTTTAAATAGTAATTAGCAGAATTCTACATCAGTGGTTCTCAACCAGGGGTACATGTATCCCTAGGGGTACTAGAGTAAATCGAAGGGGCACATCTAACTTTCATTATAAAATGGTGTATGTTAATCAATTTGCTGTAAATTATTAACACAAGAAACAAGAAACAACAAAAACTTGCTTTAAAATATCCCAGTGTGAACACTGATTTCCCTTTTAACAGTCTAAACAACTTGTTTATCCACTTGATTTTTCTGTCTATTTGTGCCATTAGTGCCGAGTGAACCTGTAGTCTAGTAAAATTATGGTTTAACCGAGCATTAATTACTTCTCAATAAGATTGGGGCTTTTTGTGTTTTTACTGGATTACTGGTATTAGGAATAACGAGGCCTGGATTGTATCCCCACCATGCAATGCGTGTCACTGCATGCGCACATTACTTGATATTTAGCAAATTTATATGTTATGTTTGTTACGAAAATTGAGAGATTCATGTATTGTTCTGCATGTTATAAATTCGCAGCCATTACTTTCAAGGTCAGTACACAATTATAGTCTCTATTTAACAACATGGGAACCAAATTTTGAAAAAATTGCTGAAGATTTATCACAACAAATATCCCATTAAATTTTGTTAGAAATTATTGTAGAATAATTTAAATTTTCTTTAATTATAATTATTTATTTTTAGGAAATTAATTTATGCATGTATTGAAATGACTTTTGTGATTTTATATAATATACTTATCAATTAATAATAAATTTAATCAGGTACATACATTTATTTATGTAAAATAAGTAATTCAATTTTAGTTATAGTTAGTTAGAGTTTTTTTTTTTATGATGCTCAGTTATAAGGGCTGTATACATCTAATGCAGTAATTATAAAATTTACATACAAAAATATAAGGGGTACTTGAGAAACAACTAATGGGCTAATGGGGTACATCAACAAAAAAGGTTGAGAACCACTGTTCTACATCATTCAAAAACAAACCTGATAAAATTCTTCTGAAACTTCAGAAACTGCACAGCATAATGTCCTTAATCCTATGTAACAGAAATATTAATAAAATAACTCCTGCAAATTAATATAGTAGAGTTTGGAAATTAATTTCCAAATTAGATACAGATATATTACCACAAGTTGCAAATTCTTTTAAATGCTGAAGAGTTGTTTCTCTGTATGGTTGATTTTCTTTCATTCTTTCATATATCACAGTATCCTTAATTTTAAATGCCATATTTTAATATCTCAATAACAGCCATTCTTATATGGAAATATATTCAAAATATAGATATACTTACTGCTCCTTTACAGTATAACTTAATTTTTCCATTTTGATCTCTTATAATAACAGACATTCTTTTTCGATTACTAAATAATCAGTTTAAATTTATTAATTTAATTTCCTAATATTCTATGTTTTCACATTAAATTAAAGACAATTTTAAATAATAGATTTTACCTAGTAAATTCTAACACATTGAGAACTTCAAACTGCTGCTCTGTACCCATCTGTAGAAATTATACATTAATGAGGTAGTTATATATTTCATATTTTATAAAACCATATAACAAAATATTAAAATAATTACAGCATTTATCATCACATATTCAGGTGTTCTGGTTGTAAAAATAAATCCACAATCTTTAGCACCTTTCACTAAAGCTCCCTCATCTTTTTAAAAGATATTGTAATTAATGTAAAATTCAGAAAATATAATTTACTATTCAGTTATAAAAAATATCTTTAATATTTTACCTGGTGAAGCTGCCTGGTAGCAAATTTCATGTGTTCGTTGATCTAACTCAGGTACTACAGTATGACATACTGCCATTAACGTGAAAAATTCTTTAATATATGGAGCTGTTGGCTTAATTAGATTATGAACTTCAATTAGAAATTTGTTTATTTAAATATAATTTAATTTTAAAAATATAAAAAAAGTGAAATCAACTAATTTAGTAATTGCACTCAATGATTTTTAAAATATTAACTTTGTTTTAGAAACATTGATTATTTTATATTTAAAATTTTACATATCTACTTTTACACACTAATCTATTATCTATATTATTTACATTATATTTCTAAATAAAACACTGTCCATTTCTAAACTATAGAATAATTAGTCTATTTCTAAATATTAAAAAATTAAATACAATAATAAAAACTGCAAGACATTTTAAAAGTTAGTTGAAAAAAAATTACTAAAATTTGAAACAAACTTTAATAAATAAGATTCAAAGTTTTATCATTTTATATGATAGTTTTTTTTTTCATCTGAAGATCAATAAAAATATAATTATATATAATAATTAACTTGCAATGTGATTCTTGATTTATTGTAAATTTCTACAATTTGAAAAAAATTATATTTTATAATAATAACTAAGATGGAATAATTAATATAATTATATTAATAATAAATTAAAGTCAATGGAAGCAATAATACTTTGTCACAAAATTTAATAATGAAAAATCAAAATGTTCTCTATTACATATCCTAAACATGCCGATTTAAATACTTGAATATTTTGTTTTAAAAGAAATCCATGTATTATATTTAATTATATATTTTAAAATTCAACATAAAAATTGTTAAGAAGTAATTTCAGTTTAATCTGAAAAATATTTTAAAAATACCCTGCAAATATATTACATAATTTAAGTAGAGTTTTCTCAAATAATTTTAAGCTTTCTAAATTTTATGAAATCATTATTATTTGAGAAGTGTAAATTTAAAATATGGTGGTAAAAGTAAGTTAAATGTAACAGTTATAATTCTACCCACTTCTAATTTTTATATCTGCTTAATCAAATTACATTTTTTCTAACTAAATTAAACATCAATTCTTCAATCTAAACAAATTTCATTGGAAAATATAATGTTTCTCTATAAGAGAAATTCATCATATAAACTGTAATAGGAGCAATATTAAATTTATATTTTATCATTATATTCTAACTCCAGAGTGGACAACAAAAATCTTCAAAAAATTTTCTAAATCTAAAATCAAAATGATAGAGTTTAAAGTCTTCTGTATATAAATAGTCATTTATATAAGAGGATAATTATAATTACATATTACAGAGAAAAAAACATAAGTATAAATTAACCTGAAATTATTTTTGTTTATACTCACATGGTTTTCTCTGATACTTTTCAATATTACTGATTTATCAAATTTTTCAGTTCCCCTGTTAATAGATTTTAAAAACCATCATGTAAAATAAACATTTATTTATATAAATGATCATCTATTGTTAATTTTTTCTACAAATCTTAATTTTCAGAGCATTTAATGAAAATTCTCAAATATTAGAAATTAAAACATATTTATCATTTTAAATTTATTAGCATCTGATTTATTTTCAATTAATCTTTGAATGTTAAAATAAATAAATAAAATTTATTTTTGTGTTACACACACACACTCATATACCTATATATACATACATATTTTTTTTTAAACGTATAATCTAAACAAATTTTGCATATTCTGTTACACTGTAGTCTTTCTAATTGTATTTTTTCAATTACATACAGAAAGTCCTCACTTAATGTCATGGATAGGCTGTTGGAAACTGCAATGTTAAATGAAAATGACAAGTAATGAAACCAATTTTATCGCAGGCTAACTTGGCTAATAGTATTCTAATTGGATCATGTTTCTAACATCAGCACATATTTCCCATTTTACAAAATTTTACCATCTATAAAGAAATTTGACAATGATAATTGTAAACGATTACAATTATCATTGTCAAATTTCTGTACTTGTATCTTTCTTCAATAATGTTATAACAGAACAACATTAAGTGAGGAATTGCTATATATTTCCATGTAAAGTGATTAATGAAAAGTTTTAATTGTCATTCTTACAAAGGATTTAATCTTTTATATACATTGTACAATTGTCTTATAATGAAATTTACATAAAGAAATAATTGTTTTCTGTAGTACATTGATGGAATATTTTATTAGTATAGACTTAACTGAAAAATATTTTTTAAAGCAATTGTAGATTATTATTTGAAGAATAATACAGTAGACCCCCCTATAACACGGTAGATACATTCCGTGTTATGTGAATTCCGTGTTGTACGAGTCACTTAAATACATGATCCAATTACAGCCTGGCATGTGTGCAGTTTAGGGGCTACGGCTGTTTGAAATGTTTTCTTCCATAAAATTAACTGATTCTAGACTAATTTGCCTCAACATTTCCAAAACATGTATAATTTTTTGGGACTAATCCATATAAACTATGCTATAAACAAAAAATTATAGGATTACTTACCAAGTGTGCACCGTTTGACGTTGCCGTTGCTTAAGCTTGTTTTCGTCGCGGAGCGGCTCATCAGATGGCGGTCACATGTTTCCTGATAAGTTATTCTTTGAGAAAAATTCACCGAACTTTGGAGACATCATTAATAGAAATATAATTTTTATGGCCGTTGAATAATAAATGTTTTTTAGTAGGTCTGCTGCATGTTTAAACACAATGGTTTGTCAATGTTCACTATTGACTAATCCTGTCGAGACACAAGTTGGCCGTGACAATCTGTCTCATTCTTTTATCGTGTTATACGAACCCCTTTTAGTGTGTTATACAAACATGATTGCAATTTTTCCACCATGTTATACAAATACTTATATAAACCCATGTTATTGGGGGGTCTACTGTACATTTCCTTATGAAGTATTATTTCTTGATTATAAAGTTTAATTTGTTTCCCCATGTAAATTATTGATTTACGACAAATTATTAAACTTTTTACATATGAAATTNACTTCTTTTGGATTCATGTAAATGTACACATTCACTTTTACAAAATTGTGAGAATCAGGATTTAGGGGGGGAGTCATTTTAAAGATATTAATGGAGAAAGAGAATGTTTTATTTTCGACTAAAAAATTATTTTATTTCGGAGAGAAGTTAAACAAAGAAAAGATGTAGCTTCTGTCATTTTAAAAAGAAGGGAAGTAAACTTCCTTTCTTATGGCCGACTTGGAAGTTGAGTCAGAAGTGGCCGCACGAGACTTGGCCATCTGTTAGGCCATCGACTCGTATAAAAGGGACATTTTCCTGCCACTCCTGGCAGTTCAACTAGGTACAAACATGCCATAGGAGGCAATTCATCGAAAGTACTTGCCATATAACATACGATGAAGGTCGTTCCATGATAAGAGGACCGCCACATAGATTTCGACCATACTGTAATAGTGCATCCATAGATGTTACGATTCCTAAACATCTCTCTGACCCTGAACGAGAAGACAGCGTTCACATACAAGATACTTACGGAATTTGTGAAGGTAGTATAAATCTGTTAGATTGATGTGAACTCTCTCTCCGCCCATAAACGTTAGATCTCACGCATATAGGCGTATATAATATACATGTCGAAATTTTCCCCACGGGGGAGATGGACAGGATTAAGGCTTATCGTGAAGAACTCTGCTTCTATTTATACTATTTTAGATGCGGTTTTTTGCATTTTTGATTCCATTTTAATAGGGTACGTCAAGAGAAGGGATTTTTCGAAAAATACTAAGAAGAGATTTTTTGAAAAATTTCCCCATGGGGATGTGTTATACATTTATAGTAGATACATTTTGAGCCATAACAATGCATGGAGGGGTGTGCTAGTATTCTATAAAGCCTTAACATCATGTTTCCTAAGAGCATTACTCAAGCATTGACACACAAAAACCTTTATATTGAAGCCTTTTAATTTGAAATTTACTAACATTTTCAGCCCTTTTGAAAGGCCTTCGTCAGGAACAGAGCAATCAAATGATTCCAGAACAAATATAGGTTTTGAAATTAGAATCATTCGATTGTTCTGTTCCTGATGAAGGTCTTTCAAAATGGCCAAAAATGTTAATAAATTTTGAATTAAAAGGCTGCATTATAAAGGTTTTCATGTGTCGATGCTTGAGAATTAATACTCAAGTGCAGTTAAAGAAGAATTTACTGAGAGCAATCTTATCACAGTGATTTCTTCATCTAGGTTAGCAATTTCTGCAAGTTTTTGTTTCTTCTGAAATAAATCTCCTATCTTCTTTCTTATAATAAACTTTTCTTTTGTTCTGCCTTTCTCTTTTTCTAGTTTGATTCCTGTTAAACACTTATTTAATTTGCTTTCTATCATGTCCTCAAATCTTGCAAATTTTATCTATTTCTAATTAAGACAGACAGTTGAAACTAATAACATACCATTTTAATGATGACAATCCATTTTAATAATGTTTTAGGGATTGGCCCACCACTACTATCCTCCCCATTCCAAAACCTGACAAATATAACTAAAGTTGATTGTATTTAATTTTAAAACAAACAAAAAATATGTAATCTGTAATATATTTAAAGTAAAAATGGTAAAAAAAAAATTCATTTTTACCATTATTACTAACTTTTTGTAAATGCAATGTAGGCATAATAAACAACTTTTATACAAGCTGATACCAAGAGTGAATACAGCAATAACACACTCAGATAAAACTAATAACTTTAAAAGCAATTATATATACAACTTTAAACTTATTAGTAATTTTATTATATATATTTAAAACTTCATTTTCCAAATTATCTTTATAAAACTAAAATTACTTACCACATTTCAAAATAAATGTGGTAAGTAATTTTTTCTGCAGTAAACTTGTAACTTTATAGCCATCTAATACATATTATACAGTATTTTAACTATTATAAATGGTAACATATAAGCAGCATAATTAATAAATTTAATTAATTTAATTACCAATATTAATTGCTGTTTCTTGTTTATCTCCAGTTAAAACCCATACTCTTATATCTGCTTTTAATAAATCATTAATAGCTTCAGGAACACCCTTTAAAAAATTGTTTTAAATCAAACAAAAATTACAAAAACCAATTCAAGTTTTTTAATTAAATTCAAAGATTAAAATTTTTCAAAATTATCATCTAAAAATTAAACTTTTCATATAGTAATAATTTCTTTTTATTATAAAATATAAAGCAATACTAAAACATACTTCTTGTAACCTGTCTTCAATGGCAGTTGCGCCTAGAAGAATCAAATTCTGAAAAAAAGTTTTTTTTTTAAAATGAGATTAATGTATATGCTACTGTAAATACTCAAACTATGGTAAATCCTAAGATCTTCCAGTAAAACCTAAGATTTACCAAATCTTTGTGGTAAATGTCCAAAATGTTCTGAGATCGTTAATTTTGAATTTTTACCAGCATTTACTCAGTATATCTTAGGTTTTACCTCAGAGACATGGTAAATGTTGAAAAAATAGTCCCTGCTACCCACACAGCGGTCTTCGCTTTGCCACATTCCATCGTTTGACACATTAGCACACACACATTAATTCTAATCCTGTTTGAGATTTCGCTGTTTAAAAGTTATTTATGAATCAAGATGAGTGTGAAATGGAGATTTTATGAAATAATGGACAAGCTCATGGCAAGCAAGAAAGATTATAACTTTTATCTCAATAGGGACAAATACGCAAAGCAAACACAACAAACATATAAAGCATTACGACATTTTGATTATAGGCGGTGAAGAAAAACTAGGTGCGCCTATGAAGGAGGAGAATGGAGAAATAAGGTATTAGATTTGTTATGAGGACTTATTCAACATTCTCAAAGAAACGCATGTTGCTGTTGGTCATGGTGGAAGGACACAGATGCTTAAGAAATGTAACCACAAGAATAAAAATGTAACAGTTAAGGCTACTATGACATATTTGAAGCTATGTCAATCTTGCCAAAAGAAACAGAAGACTTTGAAAAAGGGCATTGTTGTCAGACCTATACTTCACAGTGAAATGAACTCTCACTGTCAGGTTGATCTAATAGATCTACGAACTACTCCAGATGGAAATTATAAATTCATTTTAGTTTACCAAGACCATCTTTACCAAATTTGTGATCCTTTGTGTGCTTCAAACTAAATGTGCCACAGAAGTTGTACCATCTTTTGAATATTTTCACCACTTCAGTAGTGTCGAGCATCCTTCATTTCGATAATGGTTGAAAATTCTCTAACCAAGTTATTGAGAGTTTATACGCCACGTGGTAGGATGTAAAAATCGTACATGGAAAGGCAAGACATAGCCAAAGTCAAGGATCAGTGGAGCATGATAATCAAGACATAGAAAATATGTTGAGCATGTGGATGGAAACCAATCAGTTATCAAAGTGGTCAGAGGGTTTAAGATTTATCTAGGCAATGTAAAAAAAAGCATATCACAAGGGAATCAAATGTTCCCCCTACGATGTTTGGTAGTCCAATGAAAATGGGCGTTGCAACTTCAGCAATCCCTAGTGATATGATTAGAGTTATAAAATCTGAAAAAGATTTAGAGAAGTTGTTGCATTCGCATGACAATATGAAACAAAATAATGACGTCGAAAATGCAATCAAACAGGACAAGGAAGAAAGCATTGTTGAAAATGAGTCAGAAGGGGATATAGACAATAGCACTGTCAACGATAAAACACAAGAAGATGAAATGATTATTACTGAGAAGATGAAGGCGAAGAATATAACTGAAGATTCCAATGTAACGATTCAGAGACATAAAATACAATTGAGTCTTAGGAAGTTCTTGTAACTATAGAGTCAATACCAAAAAAGATAGAATCTGTAGTGACTATAAGAAACAATGCAAAATTGAGTTTGGAGAAACAAGCTGAAAAAATGAAAGCCACGTCTGTTGATAAATATCCAAATGTGAAAATTGACCAAAATGTAAGACTGAAAGTGCCCGAAATTGACAAAGCTAAAACTGACCCGAAAAGCATTATTGCAGTCATAGTAGATCTAAAGGACAATGAGTTTTACCAACTAGGTACCAAAATTGAAGTACTAAAGCAGCTTTATACACAAAATCAATTTACCTCATGCCCTGAAGACTTTATCAAGATAGAAGAAGTTGTTAAAGATAAAGAAGTGAGTGAGAAGTTGTCGCAAAATTGTCTTTGACCGGGGGACAAGGTTTCAAGAAATGCAACTGCCTAAAAAAATGCATAACGAAGAAGTGTGCTTGCAAGTCATCAGGATTACTTTGTAATTCTAAATGCCATGATAACTCTCCATGTAATAACAAGTAAAATCCTTTCTTTACTTTTATTAAATGACAATGACTATCAAATGATTAGAAAAAAATATTGTGATTACTGACTAGACTGATTAGCTTAGCCAACATAGGCTATTATATTATTTTTGACAAGATAATTTAATTTTTGTTATGTTAAAAAGTATTTTTAAACTGTTTTACTAGTTATTAATAAATAGGACTTAGTAAGTTGACTGCTTATAATAATTGCAATAAATGTTTATTAAAATACTCATAGTAAATGTTGGTTTTGGAAATAAAACTAACAGTCTTTAGTAAATCCTAGCATGTAACAAATTTCAATGGTAAAAGCCCGGAAAATCATCTCACTGTATAAAAATCCTTACATTTACCAACTTATGTTGGTAAATCCGAAAATTTACAAATAAAACCTAGGATTTACCAATATATGGGCTTTTACAGTAACATATACATTAAAATTTTTTTCAGTTACTTGAAATGAAAATTATCATAAAAAGAATATTTTTATTAATTTATATATTTTAAATAAATTCCCTGATCATTAGAACTTTCAAAGCATTTCATATATTACAACCCTTTAAATAAAAAATATCACCGATACTATTTAAAATTACTGTTTTTTGAATATATAAAAGAATATTTTATAAAAATCTGTTTATACATACTGTTATAATTTTTCTTACTTATAATAAAAATTTATTGTAGAGAATCTAATTTGTTAACGTTGTCTCAAACTTAAATGTAAATGTGAGAGAATGCAATATTATTTTATAACAATTATCAAATGAACTTTATTCTCAAGTTGATTGCAGAAATATTTTGATAAATATTTCAGACAATACTAACCTTATTTCTTTAAAACTGATTATTATATTATTAAATTGTATCATCTATATAGTACTTACTGTTTCAATTAATTGTGCAGCATCTTCTATTTTTTGTTCTCTATATTGCATAGAGGTACTTGCTTTAAAATAAGTGTGCTTCCATTCCTACAATTAAAATTTACTTTTATTTCAAAATAGAAATTCTAAAATACTATTTCAAATTTTGTTTCTATACATTAATTTTAAAAAGTAATATAGGAAAGTTCATTTAGTTATTTGAGTATCTTACTTGTACTCATAATATAATGAAATTAATCTTTAATGTAAATTTTTAAATAGTAATTAGCAGAATTCTACATCAGTGGTTCTCAACCAGGGGTACATGTATCCCTAGGGGTACTAGAGTAAATCGAAGGGGCACATCTAACTTTCATTATAAAATGGTGTATGTTAATCAATTTGCTGTAAATTATTAACACAAGAAACAAGAAACAACAAAAACTTGCTTTAAAATATCCCAGTGTGAACACTGATTTCCCTTTTAACAGTCTAAACAACTTGTTTATCCACTTGATTTTTCTGTCTATTTGTGCCATTAGTGCCGAGTGAACCTGTAGTCTAGTAAAATTATGGTTTAACCGAGCATTAATTACTTCTCAATAAGATTGGGGCTTTTTGTGTTTTTACTGGATTACTGGTATTAGGAATAACGAGGCCTGGATTGTATCCCCACCATGCAATGCGTGTCACTGCATGCGCACATTACTTGATATTTAGCAAATTTATATGTTATGTTTGTTACGAAAATTGAGAGATTCATGTATTGTTCTGCATGTTATAAATTCGCAGCCATTACTTTCAAGGTCAGTACACAATTATAGTCTCTATTTAACAACATGGGAACCAAATTTTGAAAAAATTGCTGAAGATTTATCACAACAAATATCCCATTAAATTTTGTTAGAAATTATTGTAGAATAATTTAAATTTTCTTTAATTATAATTATTTATTTTTAGGAAATTAATTTATGCATGTATTGAAATGACTTTTGTGATTTTATATAATATACTTATCAATTAATAATAAATTTAATCAGGTACATACATTTATTTATGTAAAATAAGTAATTCAATTTTAGTTATAGTTAGTTAGAGTTTTTTTTTTTATGATGCTCAGTTATAAGGGCTGTATACATCTAATGCAGTAATTATAAAATTTACATACAAAAATATAAGGGGTACTTGAGAAACAACTAATGGGCTAATGGGGTACATCAACAAAAAAGGTTGAGAACCACTGTTCTACATCATTCAAAAACAAACCTGATAAAATTCTTCTGAAACTTCAGAAACTGCACAGCATAATGTCCTTAATCCTATGTAACAGAAATATTAATAAAATAACTCCTGCAAATTAATATAGTAGAGTTTGGAAATTAATTTCCAAATTAGATACAGATATATTACCACAAGTTGCAAATTCTTTTAAATGCTGAAGAGTTGTTTCTCTGTATGGTTGATTTTCTTTCATTCTTTCATATATCACAGTATCCTTAATTTTAAATGCCATATTTTAATATCTCAATAACAGCCATTCTTATATGGAAATATATTCAAAATATAGATATACTTACTGCTCCTTTACAGTATAACTTAATTTTTCCATTTTGATCTCTTATAATAACAGACATTCTTTTTCGATTACTAAATAATCAGTTTAAATTTATTAATTTAATTTCCTAATATTCTATGTTTTCACATTAAAATTAAAGACAATTTTAAATAATAGATTTTACCTAGTAAATTCTAACACATTGAGAACTTCAAACTGCTGCTCTGTACCCATCTGTAGAAATTATACATTAATGAGGTAGTTATATATTTCATATTTTATAAAACCATATAACAAAATATTAAAATAATTACAGCATTTATCATCACATATTCAGGTGTTCTGGTTGTAAAAATAAATCCACAATCTTTAGCACCTTTCACTAAAGCTCCCTCATCTTTTTAAAAGATATTGTAATTAATGTAAAATTCAGAAAATATAATTTACTATTCAGTTATAAAAAATATCTTTAATATTTTACCTGGTGAAGCTGCCTGGTAGCAAATTTCATGTGTTCGTTGATCTAACTCAGGTACTACAGTATGACATACTGCCATTAACGTGAAAAATTCTTTAATATATGGAGCTGTTGGCTTAATTAGATTATGAACTTCAATTAGAAATTTGTTTATTTAAATATAATTTAATTTTAAAAATATAAAAAAAGTGAAATCAACTAATTTAGTAATTGCACTCAATGATTTTTAAAATATTAACTTTGTTTTAGAAACATTGATTATTTTATATTTAAAATTTTACATATCTACTTTTACACACTAATCTATTATCTATATTATTTACATTATATTTCTAAATAAAACACTGTCCATTTCTAAACTATAGAATAATTAGTCTATTTCTAAATATTAAAAAATTAAATACAATAATAAAAACTGCAAGACATTTTAAAAGTTAGTTGAAAAAAAATTACTAAAATTTGAAACAAACTTTAATAAATAAGATTCAAAGTTTTATCATTTTATATGATAGTTTTTTTTTTCATCTGAAGATCAATAAAAATATAATTATATATAATAATTAACTTGCAATGTGATTCTTGATTTATTGTAAATTTCTACAATTTGAAAAAAATTATATTTTATAATAATAACTAAGATGGAATAATTAATATAATTATATTAATAATAAATTAAAGTCAATGGAAGCAATAATACTTTGTCACAAAATTTAATAATGAAAAATCAAAATGTTCTCTATTACATATCCTAAACATGCCGATTTAAATACTTGAATATTTTGTTTTAAAAGAAATCCATGTATTATATTTAATTATATATTTTAAAATTCAACATAAAAATTGTTAAGAAGTAATTTCAGTTTAATCTGAAAAATATTTTAAAAATACCCTGCAAATATATTACATAATTTAAGTAGAGTTTTCTCAAATAATTTTAAGCTTTCTAAATTTTATGAAATCATTATTATTTGAGAAGTGTAAATTTAAAATATGGTGGTAAAAGTAAGTTAAATGTAACAGTTATAATTCTACCCACTTCTAATTTTTATATCTGCTTAATCAAATTACATTTTTTCTAACTAAATTAAACATCAATTCTTCAATCTAAACAAATTTCATTGGAAAATATAATGTTTCTCTATAAGAGAAATTCATCATATAAACTGTAATAGGAGCAATATTAAATTTATATTTTATCATTATATTCTAACTCCAGAGTGGACAACAAAAATCTTCAAAAAATTTTCTAAATCTAAAATCAAAATGATAGAGTTTAAAGTCTTCTGTATATAAATAGTCATTTATATAAGAGGATAATTATAATTACATATTACAGAGAAAAAAACATAAGTATAAATTAACCTGAAATTATTTTTGTTTATACTCACATGGTTTTCTCTGATACTTTTCAATATTACTGATTTATCAAATTTTTCAGTTCCCCTGTTAATAGATTTTAAAAACCATCATGTAAAATAAACATTTATTTATATAAATGATCATCTATTGTTAATTTTTTCTACAAATCTTAATTTTCAGAGCATTTAATGAAAATTCTCAAATATTAGAAATTAAAACATATTTATCATTTTAAATTTATTAGCATCTGATTTATTTTCAATTAATCTTTGAATGTTAAAATAAATAAATAAAATTTATTTTTGTGTTACACACACACACTCATATACCTATATATACATACATATTTTTTTTTAAACGTATAATCTAAACAAATTTTGCATATTCTGTTACACTGTAGTCTTTCTAATTGTATTTTTTCAATTACATACAGAAAGTCCTCACTTAATGTCATGGATAGGCTGTTGGAAACTGCAATGTTAAATGAAAATGACAAGTAATGAAACCAATTTTATCGCAGGCTAACTTGGCTAATAGTATTCTAATTGGATCATGTTTCTAACATCAGCACATATTTCCCATTTTACAAAATTTTACCATCTATAAAGAAATTTGACAATGATAATTGTAAACGATTACAATTATCATTGTCAAATTTCTGTACTTGTATCTTTCTTCAATAATGTTATAACAGAACAACATTAAGTGAGGAATTGCTATATATTTCCATGTAAAGTGATTAATGAAAAGTTTTAATTGTCATTCTTACAAAGGATTTAATCTTTTATATACATTGTACAATTGTCTTATAATGAAATTTACATAAAGAAATAATTGTTTTCTGTAGTACATTGATGGAATATTTTATTAGTATAGACTTAACTGAAAAATATTTTTTAAAGCAATTGTAGATTATTATTTGAAGAATAATACAGTAGACCCCCCTATAACACGGTAGATACATTCCGTGTTATGTGAATTCCGTGTTGTACGAGTCACTTAAATACATGATCCAATTACAGCCTGGCATGTGTGCAGTTTAGGGGCTACGGCTGTTTGAAATGTTTTCTTCCATAAAATTAACTGATTCTAGACTAATTTGCCTCAACATTTCCAAAACATGTATAATTTTTTGGGACTAATCCATATAAACTATGCTATAAACAAAAAATTATAGGATTACTTACCAAGTGTGCACCGTTTGACGTTGCCGTTGCTTAAGCTTGTTTTCGTCGCGGAGCGGCTCATCAGATGGCGGTCACATGTTTCCTGATAAGTTATTCTTTGAGAAAAATTCACCGAACTTTGGAGACATCATTAATAGAAATATAATTTTTATGGCCGTTGAATAATAAATGTTTTTTAGTAGGTCTGCTGCATGTTTAAACACAATGGTTTGTCAATGTTCACTATTGACTAATCCTGTCGAGACACAAGTTGGCCGTGACAATCTGTCTCATTCTTTTATCGTGTTATACGAACCCCTTTTAGTGTGTTATACAAACATGATTGCAATTTTTCCACCATGTTATACAAATACTTATATAAACCCATGTTATTGGGGGGTCTACTGTACATTTCCTTATGAAGTATTATTTCTTGATTATAAAGTTTAATTTGTTTCCCCATGTAAATTATTGATTTACGACAAATTATTAAACTTTTTACATATGAAATTATAAATATCATTTAATTAGTAACTAAATACTACTCATAAGTAAGAATTATAAAATTAATTATTACTTTTATAATTAACATTTATTTCCTAATATAATGTCACAACATATAAAATATATATATATATGTTGTGGTTGTTCAACAGCATTTCTATACAAAATTTGGAATTAACTCATCTTCCAGTAAGTCAATTCAAAATTGGTATTTCCAATTTCAAGAGATTGGCTGCATTTCATGAAAGTAAGAGAAAAATCATCAGGCCATCCANCAATCAGAAAATGAAGGCCATATGATTACTTCATAGATAAGCAATAATGCAATCAATTCTTCATTGTTAGACATTAAATTTTAAAAAAAATTGTCATGATCAACCTAACATGTAAGATGTATAGATATTTATTTACTGTTTATGTAATTATTTGTGATACATTTAATTTAAATATCTTAAAATTCCAGTAAAAGAGAGAAAAGAAATGATTTTATTTAAAGTAGGAATAATATGTAAAACCCACACTTCATTTGTTATGATTTTATTTGATTTCATAGCATGCATCAATGTCTGTCTAATTAACAAATGGTTTGTCCAGAAAGTAAGTATTATTTACATATATCTCCTGCACATATTGACAATATCAAAGTTCAAGGCTGTGCATGAGTAGTTACTTCTTCCACTCAAGAACAAAGCAACCAAGCCCTATTTGTTTTTCTTGTTCACACTGAGGATCATTAAGAATCAGTTATAATGTTCAAAACAATTGAGTGGCCACCAGTTATGAAATATGATCAATAATTAAGTTTTTGAATGTAAAGGAATGTTCAACCACACAAAATTTATTAGCAAATTTATAGACTAAATGTGATAAGTGAATGCATAGTGAGAAAGTGGGTTAGAATGATTAACAAAGAAGGGACAACATTCATGACAAAGAGTATAGTAGCTGCCCATATCTAATCAATGAAGAATTGCTGAACAATATTGAAAAGAAGATTCGTTCTGATGGTTTACAATTTCTAATCTGTCTCTACAATTTTCTGACATTTCAAGATCTTAGCTGCATGAAATGGTGACTAAACACTTGCACTTAAAAAAGCTGAGTTTGAGATGGGTGCCAAAAATTATAACAGACGTTCACAAAACTAAATGCATGGGATCAGCCTTAGAACTTTTGTAGTGGTGTGAAGAGGAAGGAAATGGATTTTTAAAAAGAATTGTCACTGGTGACAAAACATGGATTTGCAATATGACACCAGAAAGCAAACAACGATCACTGCAACATCCAGAAATGATGATTCAAGTCACAGGCAGCAGAATTCTATGAACAAAATATCTTCAGTTTATTGCCAAGATATGATAAGTGCCTCAATTTGCATGGCAATCATGTTGAATAATAAATTAAGCTATGTTATTTAATGGTAATTAAATAACTTATGTTTCAATTGCCTATTTTTTTAAGTAGCCAAATGATACTTACTTTCTGGAATCACCTCATAATATATTGTTGGCTAAATGATAATTATTAAAACAACTAAAAGGTATTTTTAAGTGTGTACAAAAAGAAAGGAGAGAATATTTTTCTACTAATTTAAATTTTCATTTTAATTCCATAAATTTATTAATCATATCAAATATAATGTGGAAAAATATATATATATTATATAAATTCTATGATTCAAAATTACAATTATTATTATTATTATTAAGTATATTCAAAATAATTAAATACTGATTCTTACCCATACATAACTCCAGCAATTGAACAACGTTTAAATTCCATAATATTACATGTCAATGTTCCTGTTTTGTCAGAAAAAATATATTTCACTTGGCCAAGTTCTTCATTAAGATTTGATGTTCGAGCCATAGCAGGTGTATCTGTTTCTTCATAATACATGTTGTTATCCTATAAACAGACAAAACAGTTTCAAAAAATTATAAGAAACAAAATTACAAACAGCAGATTAATTTTAGTGAGTTATATTTGTGAATAGATCTCTATATAATTACAGTTTTAACTAAAATAATAAATTGACACTCAGTCAAAGCATCTAAAAAGAAAAACAATTTTTAGAAAACCTGGAGTATATTTTCAAAATAAAGATAATTTTAATGCTTTGATTGTCAAATCTGAAGTTATCTCTGGTTAAAGAACTATAACAAAAGAAAAGGATTTCTGATTTACTTTAGAGTAAAGTCAAAAATTTCTGAAATATTTCCATTTAAAGATTAAACATTATTTCAGTCAGGCATAACACTTATTTAAGTGCATCTTCCAATTCTCAGCAATTTTTCTATATTCATTATTCATAATATTTTGAAGTTGTTGAATTATAACCACATTATTAATCATAACAAAAAATTATTTAAATATGACTGACTTTTTATTAATTTACGATAAAATTTCATTTAAAAAGTATCATCAAAATATTGTAGTTAAGTTAAAAAGATTTATCACTGTTTATTATATACATAGACATCGCCTGCTTAACATCAATAATCTATTTTTGAAAATTAGACATTCTTCAGCATAATGTTAACTGAAAGCTTATTTCTCATTATTCTATATAAAAAAAAGTATAATGCATTACAATATCAATTCTCTCACTTCTCTAAAATGCACTAAATTCAAAACCATATATAAAATATAATACAGTGCCTATACATAAATTATCATATTAGAACATAAAATTATAACAAATTGCTTTCTGGTCACTAAACAATTAATATGCTTGTTAACAAATAGTTGCTTTGAATACAGTAACATGTATGATGATCTGCATGCTGCACTACAACCATTACATATGACATAAGGCATAACAAATAAAAATATTTGTTTTAAAAATATAGACAAAATTTTACAATAAATAACAAGGAATAAATCATAACACATTCTTAATTAACAATGCCTTTATCACTTGATTAATAACTGATTGAGCAATTGATTAACTACTGTTAGTGACATAGTGAAAGTTCAACAAATAAATCTGTTCACATTTGATCAATCTTGATTGAACAATCCTTTTTTTTTGTCTAAGTAACGTCTGGGTTTGCTGGAAAGACATTTTATGGCTCAGGTTGATGTATAGTACAGTTCTATATTGCTAACTAGATCACTTTGACAAATGAGTCCATAGAGTTCTGCCACTACCATTTGATTGTCCCAATAAAGAACTTTTCATTGATGTCTGGTTGATGCTTGCTGTCAAAGTCCAGACAAACAAACTTGAAACATTCCAACGGAAAACTAAAAACTTGTCTATGAAAAATCTCAGGGAAAAACTGAAAAAACTGTCCATTTGGTCCTGTTTTAAGGGATTTAGTCAGTCCAATGGTGGTCTAATCCAGAGACTGGATCAGTAACTGACATCCAGGCTCCGCCTCAGTCAGGACAGCTGACCATCTTGGTGACGATGTGTCACACTAAGCTGACATCTCTGGAAAAATGGAATCTCCCAAACAGAAGACAAAATCACTTTGTCTCCGACATTCTGTTAGGCATCAACAGACATTACAAAAGCATATTTAAGCTTTCTGCTATAGGAAGTGTTAGCATGATATAACACTATGATGCCTCTTCCAGTATCAGCTATACTTGAGACATATATTCCACTTCTTAATATACAAGCATGTGTAGACATTTTGAAAAGTAACCTAAAATTCTGACCAACTGTATTGGGAATGAAACTTGAGACTTTCCTTGCATAACATTTTGTTAAAGGAATTGTATTGAATTTTTAGGATGTATCAATAGATAAATTTTTCTTATATAAATATTGGCTTAAAAATATATTAAGAGGATGAAAGTTACATGAAGTTTGGGTAAAGACCCAAAGACATTCTACTGGGAAAATATTAAGAAAGGATGCCTATACAGACAGTACTTAAAAACTAAAAATTTTGTGCACTTGCATAATTATTTTTAAAAAATCTAACTCTTCATAAAAAGCAGATTAATGTCTATTATAATTATACAAATTATAACTGGAAGAAGATTGTTTTAAAATCATATAGTTTATTTACAATTTGATACAGTCAACCCCCCCTATAACACAGGTTCCTATAGTTCGGATTCCTATATCACAGCAAAAAAATTGCGACAGTATTCGTACGAACATGCTAAAAAAAAACTTGTATAATTCGGTAAAATGTCATCGCCGACTCATGTCACAACAGGATTGGTTTAATCTAGACCAATAGCGAATACCGCATAAACCGTTAAGCTTAAATGAGCAGTGGACCTACTAAAAACCATTTATTATTTAATGTCCATAAAAATTATATTTATATTAATGATGTCTCCAAAGTTCAGTGAATTTTTTGCAAAAAAAATAATTTATCAGGAAGCACGCGAGCGCCATTCAATGGCAAGCTCCACAACAAAAACAAGCTTAAGCAATGACGTAGTCAAATGGTGCATGTTCAGTAAGTAATCCTACAATTTTTTGTTTATAGCATAGTTTATATGGATTATTCCCAAAAAATTATATGTATTTTGGAAATGTTGAGTTAAATTAGTCTAGAATCAATTAATTTTATGGAAGAAACCTTTCAAACAGCCATAGTCTGTAAACTGCATACGTGCCGGGCTGTGATTGGCTGGACACGTAGAAAATGGATTCATAAAAACCAGAACGTATCTATCGTGTTATAGGGGGTCAACTGTATTTACTTTACAGTAATGCAATGTGTAAATATAAAATTCAATATGTAAACATACAATAAATCAAATTTAATCTTAAGAGCAACAAAGCTTAATTCTAGTCTAGAAATAATCTGAATTTCAGTTAATTATTAACAAACAATTATTTATTGTGACATTGTCACAATTCTGGGNCAATTAATAATAAATTTAATCAGGTACATACATTTATTTATGTAAAATAAGTAATTCAATTTTAGTTATAGTTAGTTAGAGTTTTTTTTTTTATGATGCTCAGTTATAAGGGCTGTATACATCTAATGCAGTAATTATAAAATTTACATACAAAAATATAAGGGGTACTTGGAGAAACAACTAATGGGCTAATGGGGTACATCAACAAAAAAGGTTGAGAACCACTGTTCTACATCATTCAAAAACAAACCTGATAAAATTCTTCTGAAACTTCAGAAACTGCACAGCATAATGTCCTTAATCCTATGTAACAGAAATATTAATAAAATAACTCCTGCAAATTAATATAGTAGAGTTTGGAAATTAATTTCCAAATTAGATACAGATATATTACCACAAGTTGCAAATTCTTTTAAATGCTGAAGAGTTGTTTCTCTGTATGGTTGATTTTCTTTCATTCTTTCATATATCACAGTATCCTTAATTTTAAATGCCATATTTTAATATCTCAATAACAGCCATTCTTATATGGAAATATATTCAAAATATAGATATACTTACTGCTCCTTTACAGTATAACTTAATTTTTCCATTTTGATCTCTTATAATAACAGACATTCTTTTTCGATTACTAAATAATCAGTTTAAATTTATTAATTTAATTTCCTAATATTCTATGTTTTCACATTAAAATTAAAGACAATTTTAAATAATAGATTTTACCTAGTAAATTCTAACACATTGAGAACTTCAAACTGCTGCTCTGTACCCATCTGTAGAAATTATACATTAATGAGGTAGTTATATATTTCATATTTTATAAAACCATATAACAAAATATTAAAATAATTACAGCATTTATCATCACATATTCAGGTGTTCTGGTTGTAAAAATAAATCCACAATCTTTAGCACCTTTCACTAAAGCTCCCTCATCTTTTTAAAAGATATTGTAATTAATGTAAAATTCAGAAAATATAATTTACTATTCAGTTATAAAAAATATCTTTAATATTTTACCTGGTGAAGCTGCCTGGTAGCAAATTTCATGTGTTCGTTGATCTAACTCAGGTACTACAGTATGACATACTGCCATTAACGTGAAAAATTCTTTAATATATGGAGCTGTTGGCTTAATTAGATTATGAACTTCAATTAGAAATTTGTTTATTTAAATATAATTTAATTTTAAAAATATAAAAAAAGTGAAATCAACTAATTTAGTAATTGCACTCAATGATTTTTAAAATATTAACTTTGTTTTAGAAACATTGATTATTTTATATTTAAAATTTTACATATCTACTTTTACACACTAATCTATTATCTATATTATTTACATTATATTTCTAAATAAAACACTGTCCATTTCTAAACTATAGAATAATTAGTCTATTTCTAAATATTAAAAAATTAAATACAATAATAAAAACTGCAAGACATTTTAAAAGTTAGTTGAAAAAAAATTACTAAAATTTGAAACAAACTTTAATAAATAAGATTCAAAGTTTTATCATTTTATATGATAGTTTTTTTTTTCATCTGAAGATCAATAAAAATATAATTATATATAATAATTAACTTGCAATGTGATTCTTGATTTATTGTAAATTTCTACAATTTGAAAAAAATTATATTTTATAATAATAACTAAGATGGAATAATTAATATAATTATATTAATAATAAATTAAAGTCAATGGAAGCAATAATACTTTGTCACAAAATTTAATAATGAAAAATCAAAATGTTCTCTATTACATATCCTAAACATGCCGATTTAAATACTTGAATATTTTGTTTTAAAAGAAATCCATGTATTATATTTAATTATATATTTTAAAATTCAACATAAAAATTGTTAAGAAGTAATTTCAGTTTAATCTGAAAAATATTTTAAAAATACCCTGCAAATATATTACATAATTTAAGTAGAGTTTTCTCAAATAATTTTAAGCTTTCTAAATTTTATGAAATCATTATTATTTGAGAAGTGTAAATTTAAAATATGGTGGTAAAAGTAAGTTAAATGTAACAGTTATAATTCTACCCACTTCTAATTTTTATATCTGCTTAATCAAATTACATTTTTTCTAACTAAATTAAACATCAATTCTTCAATCTAAACAAATTTCATTGGAAAATATAATGTTTCTCTATAAGAGAAATTCATCATATAAACTGTAATAGGAGCAATATTAAATTTATATTTTATCATTATATTCTAACTCCAGAGTGGACAACAAAAATCTTCAAAAAATTTTCTAAATCTAAAATCAAAATGATAGAGTTTAAAGTCTTCTGTATATAAATAGTCATTTATATAAGAGGATAATTATAATTACATATTACAGAGAAAAAAACATAAGTATAAATTAACCTGAAATTATTTTTGTTTATACTCACATGGTTTTCTCTGATACTTTTCAATATTACTGATTTATCAAATTTTTCAGTTCCCCTGTTAATAGATTTTAAAAACCATCATGTAAAATAAACATTTATTTATATAAATGATCATCTATTGTTAATTTTTTCTACAAATCTTAATTTTCAGAGCATTTAATGAAAATTCTCAAATATTAGAAATTAAAACATATTTATCATTTTAAATTTATTAGCATCTGATTTATTTTCAATTAATCTTTGAATGTTAAAATAAATAAATAAAATTTATTTTTGTGTTACACACACACACTCATATACCTATATATACATACATATTTTTTTTTAAACGTATAATCTAAACAAATTTTGCATATTCTGTTACACTGTAGTCTTTCTAATTGTATTTTTTCAATTACATACAGAAAGTCCTCACTTAATGTCATGGATAGGCTGTTGGAAACTGCAATGTTAAATGAAAATGACAAGTAATGAAACCAATTTTATCGCAGGCTAACTTGGCTAATAGTATTCTAATTGGATCATGTTTCTAACATCAGCACATATTTCCCATTTTACAAAATTTTACCATCTATAAAGAAATTTGACAATGATAATTGTAAACGATTACAATTATCATTGTCAAATTTCTGTACTTGTATCTTTCTTCAATAATGTTATAACAGAACAACATTAAGTGAGGAATTGCTATATATTTCCATGTAAAGTGATTAATGAAAAGTTTTAATTGTCATTCTTACAAAGGATTTAATCTTTTATATACATTGTACAATTGTCTTATAATGAAATTTACATAAAGAAATAATTGTTTTCTGTAGTACATTGATGGAATATTTTATTAGTATAGACTTAACTGAAAAATATTTTTTAAAGCAATTGTAGATTATTATTTGAAGAATAATACAGTAGACCCCCCTATAACACGGTAGATACATTCCGTGTTATGTGAATTCCGTGTTGTACGAGTCACTTAAATACATGATCCAATTACAGCCTGGCATGTGTGCAGTTTAGGGGCTACGGCTGTTTGAAATGTTTTCTTCCATAAAATTAACTGATTCTAGACTAATTTGCCTCAACATTTCCAAAACATGTATAATTTTTTGGGACTAATCCATATAAACTATGCTATAAACAAAAAATTATAGGATTACTTACCAAGTGTGCACCGTTTGACGTTGCCGTTGCTTAAGCTTGTTTTCGTCGCGGAGCGGCTCATCAGATGGCGGTCACATGTTTCCTGATAAGTTATTCTTTGAGAAAAATTCACCGAACTTTGGAGACATCATTAATAGAAATATAATTTTTATGGCCGTTGAATAATAAATGTTTTTTAGTAGGTCTGCTGCATGTTTAAACACAATGGTTTGTCAATGTTCACTATTGACTAATCCTGTCGAGACACAAGTTGGCCGTGACAATCTGTCTCATTCTTTTATCGTGNTGAAGGCCATATGATTACTTCATAGATAAGCAATAATGCAATCAATTCTTCATTGTTAGACATTAAATTTTAAAAAAAATTGTCATGATCAACCTAACATGTAAGATGTATAGATATTTATTTACTGTTTATGTAATTATTTGTGATACATTTAATTTAAATATCTTAAAATTCCAGTAAAAGAGAGAAAAGAAATGATTTTATTTAAAGTAGGAATAATATGTAAAACCCACACTTCATTTGTTATGATTTTATTTGATTTCATAGCATGCATCAATGTCTGTCTAATTAACAAATGGTTTGTCCAGAAAGTAAGTATTATTTACATATATCTCCTGCACATATTGACAATATCAAAGTTCAAGGCTGTGCATGAGTAGTTACTTCTTCCACTCAAGAACAAAGCAACCAAGCCCTATTTGTTTTTCTTGTTCACACTGAGGATCATTAAGAATCAGTTATAATGTTCAAAACAATTGAGTGGCCACCAGTTATGAAATATGATCAATAATTAAGTTTTTGAATGTAAAGGAATGTTCAACCACACAAAATTTATTAGCAAATTTATAGACTAAATGTGATAAGTGAATGCATAGTGAGAAAGTGGGTTAGAATGATTAACAAAGAAGGGACAACATTCATGACAAAGAGTATAGTAGCTGCCCATATCTAATCAATGAAGAATTGCTGAACAATATTGAAAAGAAGATTCGTTCTGATGGTTTACAATTTCTAATCTGTCTCTACAATTTTCTGACATTTCAAGATCTTAGCTGCATGAAATGGTGACTAAACACTTGCACTTAAAAAAGCTGAGTTTGAGATGGGTGCCAAAAATTATAACAGACGTTCACAAAACTAAATGCATGGGATCAGCCTTAGAACTTTTGTAGTGGTGTGAAGAGGAAGGAAATGGATTTTTAAAAAGAATTGTCACTGGTGACAAAACATGGATTTGCAATATGACACCAGAAAGCAAACAACGATCACTGCAACATCCAGAAATGATGATTCAAGTCACAGGCAGCAGAATTCTATGAACAAAATATCTTCAGTTTATTGCCAAGATATGATAAGTGCCTCAATTTGCATGGCAATCATGTTGAATAATAAATTAAGCTATGTTATTTAATGGTAATTAAATAACTTATGTTTCAATTGCCTATTTTTTTAAGTAGCCAAATGATACTTACTTTCTGGAATCACCTCATAATATATTGTTGGCTAAATGATAATTATTAAAACAACTAAAAGGTATTTTTAAGTGTGTACAAAAAGAAAGGAGAGAATATTTTTCTACTAATTTAAATTTTCATTTTAATTCCATAAATTTATTAATCATATCAAATATAATGTGGAAAAATATATATATATTATATAAATTCTATGATTCAAAATTACAATTATTATTATTATTATTAAGTATATTCAAAATAATTAAATACTGATTCTTACCCATACATAACTCCAGCAATTGAACAACGTTTAAATTCCATAATATTACATGTCAATGTTCCTGTTTTGTCAGAAAAAATATATTTCACTTGGCCAAGTTCTTCATTAAGATTTGATGTTCGAGCCATAGCAGGTGTATCTGTTTCTTCATAATACATGTTGTTATCCTATAAACAGACAAAACAGTTTCAAAAAATTATAAGAAACAAAATTACAAACAGCAGATTAATTTTAGTGAGTTATATTTGTGAATAGATCTCTATATAATTACAGTTTTAACTAAAATAATAAATTGACACTCAGTCAAAGCATCTAAAAAGAAAAACAATTTTTAGAAAACCTGGAGTATATTTTCAAAATAAAGATAATTTTAATGCTTTGATTGTCAAATCTGAAGTTATCTCTGGTTAAAGAACTATAACAAAAGAAAAGGATTTCTGATTTACTTTAGAGTAAAGTCAAAAATTTCTGAAATATTTCCATTTAAAGATTAAACATTATTTCAGTCAGGCATAACACTTATTTAAGTGCATCTTCCAATTCTCAGCAATTTTTCTATATTCATTATTCATAATATTTTGAAGTTGTTGAATTATAACCACATTATTAATCATAACAAAAAATTATTTAAATATGACTGACTTTTTATTAATTTACGATAAAATTTCATTTAAAAAGTATCATCAAAATATTGTAGTTAAGTTAAAAAGATTTATCACTGTTTATTATATACATAGACATCACCTGCTTAACATCAATAATCTATTTTTGAAAATTAGACATTCTTCAGCATAATGTTAACTGAAAGCTTATTTCTCATTATTCTATATAAAAAAAAGTATAATGCATTACAATATCAATTCTCTCACTTCTCTAAAATGCACTAAATTCAAAACCATATATAAAATATAATACAGTGCCTATACATAAATTATCATATTAGAACATAAAATTATAACAAATTGCTTTCTGGTCACTAAACAATTAATATGCTTGTTAACAAATAGTTGCTTTGAATACAGTAACATGTATGATGATCTGCATGCTGCACTACAACCATTACATATGACATAAGGCATAACAAATAAAAATATTTGTTTTAAAAATATAGACAAAATTTTACAATAAATAACAAGGAATAAATCATAACACATTCTTAATTAACAATGCCTTTATCACTTGATTAATAACTGATTGAGCAATTGATTAACTACTGTTAGTGACATAGTGAAAGTTCAACAAATAAATCTGTTCACATTTGATCAATCTTGATTGAACAATCCTTTTTTTTTTGTCTAAGTAACGTCTGGGTTTGCTGGAAAGACATTTTATGGCTCAGGTTGATGTATAGTACAGTTCTATATTGCTAACTAGATCACTTTGACAAATGAGTCCATAGAGTTCTGCCACTACCATTTGATTGTCCCAATAAAGAACTTTTCATTGATGTCTGGTTGATGCTTGCTGTCAAAGTCCAGACAAACAAACTTGAAACATTCCAACGGAAAACTAAAAACTTGTCTATGAAAAATCTCAGGGAAAAACTGAAAAAACTGTCCATTTGGTCCTGTTTTAAGGGATTTAGTCAGTCCAATGGTGGTCTAATCCAGAGACTGGATCAGTAACTGACATCCAGGCTCCGCCTCAGTCAGGACAGCTGACCATCTTGGTGACGATGTGTCACACTAAGCTGACATCTCTGGAAAAATGGAATCTCCCAAACAGAAGACAAAATCACTTTGTCTCCGACATTCTGTTAGGCATCAACAGACATTACAAAAGCATATTTAAGCTTTCTGCTATAGGAAGTGTTAGCATGATATAACACTATGATGCCTCTTCCAGTATCAGCTATACTTGAGACATATATTCCACTTCTTAATATACAAGCATGTGTAGACATTTTGAAAAGTAACCTAAAATTCTGACCAACTGTATTGGGAATGAAACTTGAGACTTTCCTTGCATAACATTTTGTTAAAGGAATTGTATTGAATTTTTAGGATGTATCAATAGATAAATTTTTCTTATATAAATATTGGCTTAAAAATATATTAAGAGGATGAAAGTTACATGAAGTTTGGGTAAAGACCCAAAGACATTCTACTGGGAAAATATTAAGAAAGGATGCCTATACAGACAGTACTTAAAAACTAAAAATTTTGTGCACTTGCATAATTATTTTTAAAAAATCTAACTCTTCATAAAAAGCAGATTAATGTCTATTATAATTATACAAATTATAACTGGAAGAAGATTGTTTTAAAATCATATAGTTTATTTACAATTTGATACAGTCAACCCCCCCTATAACACAGGTTCCTATAGTTCGGATTCCTATATCACAGCAAAAAAATTGCGACAGTATTCGTACGAACATGCTAAAAAAAACTTGTATAATTCGGTAAAATGTCATCGCCGACTCATGTCACAACAGGATTGGTTTAATCTAGACCAATAGCGAATACCGCATAAACCGTTAAGCTTAAATGAGCAGTGGACCTACTAAAAACCATTTATTATTTAATGTCCATAAAAATTATATTTATATTAATGATGTCTCCAAAGTTCAGTGAATTTTTTGCAAAAAAAATAATTTATCAGGAAGCACGCGAGCGCCATTCAATGGCAAGCTCCACAACAAAAACAAGCTTAAGCAATGACGTAGTCAAATGGTGCATGTTCAGTAAGTAATCCTACAATTTTTTGTTTATAGCATAGTTTATATGGATTATTCCCAAAAAATTATATGTATTTTGGAAATGTTGAGTTAAATTAGTCTAGAATCAATTAATTTTATGGAAGAAACCTTTCAAACAGCCATAGTCTGTAAACTGCATACGTGCCGGGCTGTGATTGGCTGGACACGTAGAAAATGGATTCATAAAAACCAGAACGTATCTATCGTGTTATAGGGGGTCAACTGTATTTACTTTACAGTAATGCAATGTGTAAATATAAAATTCAATATGTAAACATACAATAAATCAAATTTAATCTTAAGAGCAACAAAGCTTAATTCTAGTCTAGAAATAATCTGAATTTCAGTTAATTATTAACAAACAATTATTTATTGTGACATTGTCACAATTCTGGACTGCAAGTTTTAATCATATTTTTAATTTATTTAATTTAAAATATATGCTCTCCACTTCAAATTAGTAGTGTCTTGTCCCTGTACATCATACTTTTCCATCAGCAATAGATTTGTGCCAGTCATCTTATTCCTTTCAAGGGAAAGTTTTGAATTGAAATAACATGACTTCCACTTTGCATCAAAAGTTTGTATATAGTTAATCAGGGCCTCCTGCCCCAAGGTTACCATATCTGATCTTGGATTTCATCTATAACTCCATTCTGAAGATTAAGAAAAGACAGATGGATGGACAGTGGGACAGATTGATGTATAGATGGACAACAGTGGGAATATAACAATTTTTTCAAATTGCAACCCAATTAAATCATGGAATTTAGTTTATAGATAGGTGGTTAAGCCACCTTCTTAAATAAAGATTGTTAAGTAGCTATTAATTTTGAATTTTTGTCAAATAATTTAACTGTTTAATTAATAAACTAGGCACAGTTCATTTTCTGTATGAACACAAACTAAGAACTGAGTTGAAGCACTAGCAAGCCAATAATATTGTTTTGGGAACCATTTACAATGATCACTTGTTGTTAGCATGATAATTATTTCACTGCTAGCATTAAAAATAAATAAATAAAAGATAAATTGTACACACTTGTGCTAGTAATCTTGGACATTGTCATTTTGACTTCTGATAGTTGCAGACAAATGATCCTTGCAAGAAGAGAGAATCCTTACATTCAGTCAGCATTGACTGTTTTTTTCTAATGTTTTTTGTTTGTTTTTTAGCACCTGTTTTCTGTATGCAATGCTTTTTATTTTTATCCCCTGAACTCTGTTAGGCCTGCTCAATCACATCAGCAAGCATGGACATCATCACTTCGACTCCATTGTGTCTCAAAAACAAAATCATGGACCTTGATTTTTTTATATTTTTAATTTCCTCATCTCATATGTAAAATGACAAACTTTAATCAAAACTGATTGATCAAATTTTGAGAACAAACTAAATTCTATATACCACATAGAAGAGGCTTTGCTAATGCTCCGCCTCAATATTTACATTACGTTATGAGTTTGAGTCCTATTACAAGCCAATCTTTTCCATAATTTTCTAAATTATTTAAAATTTTGAAAGATTGACCCAGAGTGATTCAAACTTATAACTTCTGTTTAACTTTATTATTTATTAATTATTTAATTAAAACATTACTGCTATGATAATAAATCATAAATTAAATAGTTATGCAGCTTAAAAAATAAATTATTTTATCTATTTCCAAGCTATATAAATTTATCAGTATCAATTTTATTTCTATCGTTAAGAACTAAAATTACATGTGAAACTTAAATATTCTCATAACCTAAATATTAAATTTTGTTGTAATTATGATTTCAATTTGTATGGCAATTTCACAAGATGAAAATATGAGGGGAAATCAAAAAGTAATGCCACTTTATTAATAATAATTTGTAAGTATTGTTAGTTGTAACAAGAAATGAGAGGTCTGAAGCAAGAGCATTTTGGCTATACTATTATGCCTTTGAACAGCAGCTGCCACCTAGTGTGTACATATGAATGAAGAAAATGGCATCCACACTGAGTTTATTTTCTGTGTACAATGGGTAAGAAACTGTCAGACATTCATACTGAAATGATGAAGATTGTCTGAAACACAGATGATACAAAATGTTTGGATAAGGTCATCAATCTGACAGATAAGTCTCATTTTAGACATTCATTAAGTGTCACTGCTCTAAAAAGAGTTGCTAATAAAAGAAGCACTACGAAACCTGCCTTATTCACCTGAAAAGTTTGACATTTCTTTTTATACAGAAGATGGCATTGTGGTTGAAAAGCTTGGGTATAGAAAAGTCAGTACTAACTGGCACCCATGAAATTGACAGAAATGCAAAACTGTTGTCAGGATAATAATGTGTTCAGATCATTTGAAACAATATCACCAAGAAAACCAATTCATCAAAAGCATTATCGCTGGGGACAAGTTGTGGATGATAATGTCAAAGCAAACTGTTCAAAACTGGCTTTATTTGCAAGAAAATATTCTACAGGTCTGAAATGTTTAATATCATTACACACTGAGACAAGTTCTTGAATCAGTATGGTTCCAATGTGGAGAAGCAGACTACTAAGTATACATAATTTTTTTTTATATTCACTTATTTCAAATAAAGTCAACTCCTGTGTATAAAAAAATTTTAGTTGTTACTTTTTGACTTTATAATATGAACTTATTTAAAGAGAATATATTTTAATGATCATTTTTAAATTTATTTATTACTCTATCTTTATACACTCTAATCTGAATTTAGTTTAATTGCATAATTTTCTGTCAAATTTAATTTAACCAAAAACAAAAATAACTACATATTATTTAAAAAAATAACAAATTTGTAAAATTAGTGTATTACACATTTTAATGTAAATATATCTACCAAATATATTTAAAAAATTTTTTATACTATATATCTACTTGTTCAAGTATGATCTAAAGATTGGTGGTAAGGTGGAAATCACTCCTTGAAAATTTTCTTGTTGTAAACATTATTATTGTATAGTATGATGTGAACATTATAAGTATGTTATAGATTTTGCATTCATGTCTTATAAAATAAGCATGCTTATTAAAACAAATACTAGAAACTAAGTTGTCAAGATGACTTAAAGAAATAAAGCTTAATGGCAATAAAGCTTTCTGTAATAATCATAATATATAATATAGCATTAATTAATATTTTATGATTATTGAATATATATTTACAATTTTAGCCATTACTAATGAGAAATTTTCTACGTGTTTTATATATTGAGGCAAACAAGAGCCTACAAAAACAGGTTGATTCTGTAATAAGAATGTTCAGTCCTGAGGTGTGAAGAGGACATAGGATGAAGAAACATGAAGCCCTGTGTTTTCTTCTGTTAACTTCATGTAAAAAATTTTTTAAAATTTTCTTGTAAATTTTAAATAATTAATATTGTTTATTTTATTATATAAATTAAAAATCACACTCTAAAATTTGCTCTCAGATCCACTATATCCAGTATATAATAAATATATATTTATTTACTGTCATTTTTTATTTCTATTTCTTTGTAATTCCGTAACCCAGTGGTTTCCAAACTTTCTGTATCTCCACCTCCTCTTTTACAGAAAAAAATTGTTGCACCCCTTCAATTTTCATAACAATCTAATTTCATAAATACTGTCCTAATAATTTATTTTAATGCCTACAAAATGATATACGTTGTTAAATAAAATATATTGTTCACTGGCACTCAACTGTTGTTGAGACATTTTAGCAAGAGTGTGGATGGATTTTTAGCATTCGTATCAGAGTTGTTCAGAAGAGGGTTTGTGAATTAGACATAACAGTTTTGCTGTTCATTTTTTTTACATCAATTTGACTATTTTTTGTTTGTATTAAAAAATGATAATTTGGTAAAAGCTGAGTGCCTCCCTTTCAACAGTCTCACATCCACCTGCGAGGCATGAGACTATTGTCCCACAGATTGGAAAACACTGCTGTAATCCAAACAACTCCATAAGTAATTACTTCAGGTTAGCAAGAATGCACTATAGTTTATTAATAATGCTGGATTATGAAGACAAATAAAGCTCATAGTATATTTTATTTCTTTTCTATTTAAAAAATTTGTGAATATTAGAAACAGCTATTTCTTAAATTATACAAATATATCAAATTTAAAAATTTTTAAATAAAAATTTACTAAAACAAAATAAAAAACTTACCATGTTAATGAAAATTGCTTGGGCAAATCGAACTACTTCTAAAGTTACTTGGAGACTTATAGGAATTAAATTATTGTACAGAATGATAAATGTCAAAAAAGTATAACCAAAATTTGTTGTTGACAATTCTGTATGAAGAATTAATAAAAAAAAATTAATATAACGAAATTATAATAAATTTTATGCAAGATTTTATTTATATTAAATATAATAATTTTGATTTTTAAAAGCTGTTTATTGATATTCAATGAAGTGTAAGTATAAATCATTGAAAAATCAGCATAACAATAACAAAATATACATTGATAACTATTCAAAATAGAAAATGCTATGTATTTCTTTAAAATTTACATTTTTTAAAATATTATTTTACAAACTAAAAAAAATATATTTAGGAAAAAATCTACTGTGTATAAAAAAACAAATTTTGAATTAAATAAAGAATAATGAAATGTAATAACTTATGCCAAATTAATCTAAAAACTACTTTTTAACAAATCTTTACTTGAAAATAATATAAAATATTAATTCTGTAAGTTTTTCATACTTAAAATTAGGTTCTTGAAATTTCTCATTTCTCACATTTTAATGTTGGCTTTCTAATAATTTAAAAAAAAATAAAATATTTTTAGACAAGTATTATTTTCATATTTTTCTCTAAAGTTTACCATGGTAAAAATGGCCTAAACATTCAGCTTCTTAAAAAATGATTTATAAAGTGAAGAAAAATAGATGTTAAAAAATAATTTATTGTAGTTAAGAAGTGGATAAATTCTTTTATATTTATATATAAATTTATCCACTAATTAAATAAAAGCATGTCCTACATTATGTATATACCTATATGTGCAAAGGATAAATTATTTCCTAAATCTTCATGTTTTAATGTTTTATTAAAAAATTATAGATGATGATTTATTAGTATTACAATTTAAACAACAGAGGACTTATAATTTTCCACTTGCAAAAATCAATTGTGTTATGCAAAGTTACAAATTATAAAAAGCTTTTCATTCGAAGATAATGAGTTGATATTTTAAAAATTTAACATCATTTTGTATAAAAGTTTGTAAATTTTAAGATATGCAATATAGAAATCACTGAATTTAAGATTAAAGAAAACATTATATATATCTAACTGTTTGAAAATTTAGTAGTATAAAATGTTCTATTATTATAAACACTATAATTTATGTACTGTACACACAACTTATCTCTGTAGAATGCTAAATTTTTAAACATTCATTACATTCAAAATAATAGTGTAAATGTGTAATATGTAATCTGTTTATAATGAACACTGCTTACGCTAATATTTTATCAAAAATATATTTATATAATAATGTAAATTTAATTATTTTACCATCCATTCCTAAATACCAGTCTGTAGTTGAGTGTTCTTTTGTCCAAATCTCACTTGCAATGGCACTCACAAGGCACAGAACAATCAGAAGTAGGAAAAGCATGAGAATCTAAAAGAAAAAATTTTAATTTGATTATATACAGTACTTAAAAGTGTTAGGTAATGCCATTTTAAGAACTTAAATTTGGAAATATTTTATAAAAAAATTCTATTTTGAAGAAAAACAAGCCTGAAAAAGACTTTTGAATATTAAAGAAGTGATAAGTTATTGTTGAATATATGAGGGTCATTCAAATAAAACTCGACTAATGACTATTTAGTAGTACAGTTAATTACATTAAAAGTAATCTCCCTGATGAGTAGGGCACTTGTCCCACTGTGACACCATATATTCAATTTCTTGTTCATAGAACTCAGTGGGTTGATGTTTGCACCATTTCCAAATTGTGTCTTCCACCTCAGTGTCCGATTAAAACTTACACCCTTTCAGGTGCCTCTTATGCTCCCTGAAAATGTTGACATTGCATGGAGACAAGTCAGGACTGTATGCAGGATGTTTCCCACTTGAATTTCACAATTCCTGCATGATGCATGCAGTGTGAGGGTAGGCATTGTAATGAAGAAGGATGACACCTTGCAAAGGCAGACCAGGCCGCTTGAACTTAATGAAAGCTCACAGAGATTTTAAAGTTTTCACATACTGAGCAGCATTTATGGTGGTTCCACAGGTGGTAAATTCCATCAGCAATGGACCTTTGCTGTTAAAGAAGAATGTCAACATCACCTTTCTTGTTGTTGTCTACATTCCTTTTGATTGCTTAGGCAGTGCAGACATGAGCTTCCACTAGATGTGTCTTTTGCTTTCTGGCTGAAAATGAAAGCACCATGTTTTGTCTTCTGTAACAATTCTCTCTATGAAATGATGACCTTCATTGCAGTACCACAGCAAATATTCCTATGACAGACCGATGCAAAGGTCTTTTTGCACAGACATCAAGTTGTGTGGCACCCACTGGGCACAGATCTTTCAGTACTGTAGCTACTCACAAATAATGGTGTGCATACAACTGAGGCTTATTTCGATCTCAGTCACCAGTTCTTACACAGTGACTCATCTATTGTCTGAAATGAGTCTGTTCACTTCCGCTACTGTAACCTCTTTGATTGCATGATGTGCTTGTCCTGGCCTGGCATCATCAGCCAACAATAACTAACCACCTCAGAAGTGCTTACTCCAGTCTTTCACTGTTGTCAAACCCATACAATTTCAATACACATTGCTCATGTGGCACCTACTGCTTGCTGCTCAATTGTTGATGCATTCATGCTTGAAAGTTGGATGGATTATCTGCCTGATGTACTAAATGAACACAGCTTGTTTGTAGGTTAATGTGACAATACAGTGTGAGCCTACAGTGTTTCCACCTACATTTCAAATGGAGAATGATTTTCTACACACATTCCGCACTTTGATATATCCATTGGTTGGGTTTCATTTGAATGACCCTCATAGAAAAAGTAAAATTACGTATTAAACACATGAAAAAAAAAAAAAAAATGAAAAATTAAAATTACTAGTCATAGATAGATTACATACTTGATTATTTGTAATTTTATCCACTGTTGATCTCTTCAATGGAGCAGACATAGAATTCTATAAAATAAACAAGAAAATCATCTTATCTAATACAGCAAACAAACAATTCAGTTTTCAATGGCAGTTCATTCAAAACAAAATTTCAAATTTATAATTTATGAATTCAAGTAAAGAAAAACAATTTTGTCAATAAAACTTTTGTTGTTATGAATCAAGCTTTACATTGAAATCTATCTTTTATAAAAAATTTTGGTACTGCTACTTAGATAAAATTTACATTAGGAAAAAATAATATTTTATAGCCAAAATTCATATTTTTTAGACAATAAAAGAAAGTCTTACATATTGTTGTTTCTTAAAGCCATTTTTATATATCAACAATGATTGAAAAAAAAAGCACACAAAAAATTTTTGAAATGTCATCTTTCAAAAATTATTTTATATAAAAACATACCTTTGTAAAATTGTGCAATTCAAATAAATTATTCTATTCATTTTATTAAAAAGCAATATTAAATTAACATCTCTCTGAAATGTCTGAAAAAATTTCATGAGCATATCCCTCACACTAAAAAAGATAATAGATGGCCATATGGTATGAACTTTCTCAAGAAAAGAACCATCATCATCCTTACTATTTTACAAGATTTATAATTGTTGTAAAATAATAAAGCTGATGATAGTTTTACCACTGCAGAGCCTCCCATGCATTGCTGTGCAGCAAAAGGAAAAGACATTCAGTATGGTAAGAAAAACCCAGATAAGAAATAAATAACAAGAAAAATTATTGTCCTTAATAACTGCAGCAAAAGTCAATAAGCTGACTGATAGCAACTGTCATAAGTACGCTGTACCATAACAAAAGAAATCTAGATATAGATTTATAATGTGTTCCATCTTGATGTGTCATGAACCTTGATATTGCATGATCAGTGCCTCCTGTTATATGCCTTTGTGCAATGTTTTGCTCTGTTAACAATTTCTTTTGTTATGGTATAGTGTACTTATGACAGTTGCTATCAGTCAGCTTATTGACTTTTGCTGCAGTTATTAAGGTAATTAATGTATTAATGATTAATTAATGTATTTTATTATTTTTTGTTATGATCTGAGCCTTTCCCCATTCTTATAATCAAACAAAATACAAAAATAAATAAATAGTCAATTGAATTAAATGAAAAATTAGATTTACTAAGAAATTTCAACATTTTCTGAAAATCTAACATATAATAACAACATACCATCATGAGTTTTGTTTCATGGCCTGTATAGATGACCACACCTAAAATATATTTTTAGTTTAATAAATATCTTAAACAACAGTTGGTGAGATAATTTTAAATTTATTTTAAACCATTTTGAAATTACCTAAATTAAATAGCTTTATCTATAACCTATCAATTTTTTTATAATCATATATTAAAATTAATAACTTATTTAAATATCTTCAATTATATTTATAATAAATTTTAGTGATGATTTATGAAAGTTATTGTTATAATTTTAATTTTTAACAATTTATAACAATATTTCTACTTCATGCATGAATTTATTTAAGAAATTACAATAACATATATTTATTCATACCAAATATCCAATTTGTGTTTCTTAGCCTTGCACCACGTAATAATATCTGATCTGGTCCCAAAGGGTTAGCTCTGGAAAATATATTTACTTATAGACTGTCTACTAAATTTAACTTTAATTCACATAAACAATACAGAAACTAGATAACAATATGGAAGAAAAACAAAACAAAAAAAACACCACAAACTCCAACAAAGAACAAAAAAATTATTTAATCAATAATAGAAATTTAACTTAAGTCTTTTTAAATGATAACTGAATTAAAATTTAATTGAAAGTTTAAAGCTTTTCTAAATATATAATGTTAATAAACTGAATAATTTCTACAAAGAAAATTATATTCGTTTAAATGTTGACTGGCACAAATAATATACAGATCAAAGCCAGATGGCCTAGTGGTCAAGGTGGCAGCCTACTGCTCTGGGGACCTGGGTTCAAATCCAGACAGGCCATTAAATCCCCAGGAATCTTTCGGGGGTTGGTCCGTGCGGATATGTATCCCTCACCACAAGCCGCCCCATAATGGGCCTGCTAAAAGAGGTCTCTTAGTGCCCACAGGGCAGAAAGAGGAAAGAGTTAAATATATATACACACACAGAAGATAAAACACAAACTCAATGAAACAGTAAGAATAAATAAACATTTAAAATCCAACAATAATTTTTTTATGAAGAAACATTTTCAGCTATTAGCAACCATCATCAGGTTTGAATATAAATGTTCCAGAATACTAACATTATAAGTTGTTACTCTGAATTTATATTTATACTATAACTTGTAATGTTAATGTTCTGGAACACCTATATTCAAACCTAATGGCAACTATCAGGTCAGTCCATAAGTTCGTGCGTATTTTATGATGTTGAGAAAAATCTTGTTTTGCTATTAAAAATGCCAGTCTAATGTGATACTTTTTACACTTAAGTGTTAAATTAAATCTCATTCATATAATACTGTTCAGAATTGGGAACATTTCAGTTGTTTATTTTCGTTAAAATGGAAGTAACAGACGAATATAAGAGACATGTTTTATACTTTTTATTTTTAAGTGATGAGAATGCTACAAATGCAGCCAAAAAATTAAATACTGTTCATAATCAAACTGTAATTAGTGTAAGGACTGCACAGAAGTGGTTTGCAAGATTTAGAAATAATGATTTTAGTGTGGAGGATAAGGCTCGTACTGGAAGATCCGTTGACTTTGATGATGATGAGCTCTCTGCACTAGTTGAAGCAGAACCATCGTTAACGGTTGATGAAATTGCGGAACGTTTAAATTCATCCCATGGAACTGTTCATAGACAAAGCTTCAAAGCTAGGAAAATGAATACCACATGAACTGTCAATAGCTAACCAACAATAATGTGTAAACATTTGCACATCTCTTTTATCCGGCATTACTTTGGAACCTTTTCTTGATCGGCTGGTTAATGGAGACAAAAAATAAATCCTCTATAATAATGTGACGAGAAAAAGACAATGGACATATCACGACAAGCAGCCAAAACCGGCTGCAAAAGGTGGGTTGCATCCAAAAAAAATTCTTTTGTCTGTTTGGTGGGATATGTGAAGTGTAATTTATTTTGAGCTATTAGAACCTAATCAAACAATTACAGCTCAAATGTATTAATAAGATTTAATTAAAATTTTTTGTTGCTTTTTTTGTAGATAAAAATACGCACGAACTTATGGACTGACCTGATAATACAGATGAAAATGTTTGTTCATTAAAAAGTTAATGCTGGATTTTAAAGGCTTGTGTATTTATTTTTAAATAATGTATAATTGTATTTGTATATTATTTTGGGAAAAAATGTTCACACACAGAAAGTGTAAATGTATTTTTGTATATTTTAATGTAATTTAATATTTATAAAATTCTCTAAAATGAATAAAACAGAGAAATAAGCTTCTACTTATTCTTACTGTAAAATATTAGACATTTGATTAGAAGAAAAAACAATTAGAATCCAATATTCTCTCTTTCCATTGCAAAACTATTGAAATTTTAATTAAGTTTTAAGAGAGTAAGTTTTATATTTTATAGAGATGTATGTATTTCTTTTCATAAAAATTTATATATTTTTTGTCTTGTATATTTTCATGTATACAAATACAAATATATTATTATATTACTATACATAATGTAAGAGGTAGTGATATAATAAGAACAAATTTCACTTGAAACATTCAAAATTTTTCCTAAATTTAAGAAATCATACATTTTTTCTCTCTTCTTTCTTTGTCGTGAAATGCTTCATAATGCTTTCTTTACAAAAAATATTTAATTGCAAGTATTTAATCTTGTTATATTATTTCAAAATATATTGAAACAAGTCAGTTTGTTGTTGACAAGTTTATCCTGAAACTTTAAATTTCCATACTGAAATCAAAAACAGTGTTCTACCTATTTTAAAATTACTTATTTAATAACTTTATAGCTATCTGGGATGAATGTGAAAAATGTCATCTTGGTCAAAAAATCTCAATTTAGTACTATTTAAATTCTTTATCCAGCAATTAATGTAAATTTTCAAAATAAACATGAAAAGAACAATACATACAACCACATCATGTAGTTGTACTCATGTTAAACTTGAAATTTAAATATATTCTTCTTTGCCCCCTAAAAATCAATAACTTAGAAAATGTATGAGTCAAAGTAATCTCTGATGGCTAAATGACTCATCCACAGATATTTTTGACATCTAGTTAATCTGCTTTTTACTTTTAATACAATTTGAAACAATTGAGAATCCACTGCAGTATCTTTCCTATAAAAGAGGTTTTCATTAATTCTAAAATTTTTAAAACCAAATTCTAAAATTTTGCATATTCATTTTAGGTTAAAAAACTACTTAAAAACTTTTTTAGATTTTTATGCAATTAAAAATTTGCAAATTCTCAATGACATTAACACACAATATGTGAAATGTTATGAGAGAGGAAATAAAGTCAAAAAACATTTTATTTTTCAACTTTAATTTAAGAACTTAATAGCAATTTTTCAGTGTGTTATCAAGTTAATATGCATTACTTTGATTTAAATAAACAAATACTTTAAATAATTAAACAATCAAATTAAATATTAAACATTGCTAAAATCACTAGAGTTTAGTTCTTGTTTAACTATACTTCTGCTCAGCTTAATATATACAAGCAGCAGGGAAAAAAAAATCACTTTATTGGAATAGTATTATTTTTTTGTTTATAACTTTGAAATTTACACTTTCAATATTCTTTTAACCATAAATCAAACCAATTTTTCAAACTAGATACAATATTTTATTGATTATATTTTGAAAAAATTTCATTTAGAATATAGCAAGATACTCCTGAAATTGAATTGCTACAAATAATAATAATAATACAGTAGAGCATCGATTATACGACTCAATTGGGGACGCGGGTTGATCGGATAACTGAAAAAATTGGATAACCGAAAATAATGAAAAAAATACATTATTAGTATAGTATATTAGGATATCCCATGTAATTAGTATATTGCTATTAACCAACTTTGTGTTGAATTTTCATCATGTTTAGCCTAACAAATTTTTTTAAAATAATAATCATCGCTATTGTATCGTTAAAAATTATTTATAAATTATTTTATTGTTCACAAAACAAACAACCACTCATAATTAGAAAATTAAGTCTCGTTTAAATACTGGCCTCCCTTCAATGATCAAACCATGTTGCCAGCTAAAACATGCAAAAATTTAACAAAAATAATATTAAAGTATCCAAGACATAACCAAATATTGTAGCGCCACATCACTAGCAGACATTGAAATTTGCTGACTAGAACGGTTGGTTAACCAATGTAACGGTTAATCGTGGGTCGGATAATCGATGCTCTACTGTATATAGATTGAATAAACTCAAAATAAAAATTAACAAAATTATAAAAATCAACATTTTATTCTATAATTTCAAAAATTTATCAATAAAAGTTTCTAAAAATATAAAATAATTTGTGAATAGAAACTATTTTAAATAATTATTAAAAATTAATTAATTTCTTACTGCTTTCCCATTAGCCTTAGATTTCCTGTGAATTCATATAAATGCCGATTTGGTAATTCACATTCAACAATTCCGACCAACTGCTGTACATCTTTTGTTGTCAAAAGTTTGCAAGTTTGAGTTAATCCCTAAGATATAAAAATTCTTACTTTAATTTGAAAATAATACAGTTAGAATAAACCTATTTTAAATACAATATACAATGATTAAAATATTTTCACTGTATATATCTAAAAATATTTAATTTTCTTATTACTAATATAAGAGCTGTGTGTGAATTCCTTATAACTCCTGCAATTTTTGTCCAATCCAGATGAAATTTTGGTTATATTCATTTTATGTTCTAACAGAAAGTATAGGCTACTTATTTTGCAGAAATATTAGCTATAGAATAAACATTTGATCAATTTCAGATAGACGATTGCACTTATGTTACAGTGACCATGTAATGTTCATGCTTGACAAAGAGATTTCTCTTAAGTTGTATTTTAAAATAATTTGGCAAATGGCATATTTTAAACTTACTTCATTAAATTTAATATTTAAACTTTAAAAATGATAGCTGCATCATGTCACTTCTATAACAAATTTTTTAAAAAAATATTTCCATAGTGACCACATGACATTCTATTGTCCAATCATAAGTAACTTTCTAAATTAAAATAGAAAGTGTTATTACTCATCTAATTAACATACATACAATTCATCTTTCTTTTATCATCATGGAATTAAAAAGACTAGCTGTTTTATTGAAAAAAAATGCCTTGGGGAAAGCATAAAAGTAAATTGGTCAGGTAAATTCTAGATCTAAATGAATAAGAACAATTGAGACCCATGAAGACTGTGAAGTCTGACTTAAGCAACATCAAGTGAGAATGGCTTTGCAGGGGTTACAGAAACAGCATCACAATATCAAGCTTGATTTGAAGCTCTTCTCAATTTTTCCCATAAAAAAATATTCCATCATGTTTGACAGAAGAATTTCTAGTTTATTTATATTTAATATTACAAGTTATTTATTAACACAGACTGCTTATTAATTAATTAATAGTGATGTGTACCAGAAGAGTTAACTGTCTTGAAACNTTATTATATGATGATTATTATTATTGTTATTTAGATTAATATACTGTATAAAACTATTTTTACAGAAAAGTTAAACATTCCATTTTTTCATATTAAAAAATATATAAAATGCATTAATTATATTATATTAATATTATAAAACTTTTGAAATATCTAAATTACAGAATTTTTTTTACTTTTACATTATGTACATTAGCATTGAAGCATCTGATAACATTACACAAAATAAATTGTATAAAAGTTCTATATATGTAAATCCATTATATATTCCATTAATAATGTAGGTCATGTAGATTGTTAAGTAATGTCATTTGAAGGACAGAATATATTGGATGTAACATCATTCATTTCATGTAATGATTTTGTAAATAAATGAAAATCATTTAACTGCAGAATTGGTTAACGATTTTCAATTAATCAGTCAACCATAAAAAACAGAAAAAGTGTGAACAAATACAATTGTAAAAGTGAATCAAACTAGGAATGTTAAAATACAAACTACAAAGCTAAACACAGTGAAATTTTTTGCCTTATATAAACAGAAAATTCAAGAAATTAAAAATTTATGAATTATATTTTTGAATTAAAAAATTGACTAAGTAGTGAAACTAATAAAAAGTTTAACTGATCTTTTCAGTATTTTCTAACTTTTTTAAATATATTCATTGAAAAAATTTGCTATTAGTCTATATATATAATCTTATTTTAATTAACAGACATAATTACACCAAGGACAATAATCATATTATACAATTTTTATTGAGGAATATTATAATCAAATTTTTCATTACAGTATGATGAGATGATAATAAAACTTAAGTGAAAAAAAAATTCACAAACTACAAAGAAAAATACATATTAACTTCTTGCCTTTATTGTTTTTATACAAAGTACAATAAACAAATATACATATATGTACAATATAAAATTTTCATCCATATTCCATATAATTCTCTCCTAATATTCATTATGTAAATATTAAAACTATGAACTAAAATCCAACTTTCATTTCACAATACATTGATTTTAGAGAAATGGAAAACAAAACTAATAAATATAATTCAGAAAATTTATTAAAAATTATACATAAGAAAAATTAATGATTATTAAAATATATAATACAATATTACAGTATATTTAAAACACTAATTCTCTAGAAGAAATCTTTGATATTTGTTAAAACTTTATGCTTCAATTTGAAATACAATTTTTCAAGACCTAGAATGCTTTTGTGATTACAAAAGCATTCTAGGTCTTGCTGGGCATATAAAAGAAAGATTTTACAGTAGAGCGTCGTTTATCCGAAAGTCGGTTATCCGAAAGCATTCCAGTCGGCAAATTTAAATTTTCGCTAGTGCTGTGGTGCTGAAATCTTTGGCTACATCTTAAGCTACTCCAATATTTTTTTGGTTGGGTGTGTGTTTTAGCTAGCAGCACTGGCACTTTTGTGTGGTGTTTTTCTGAGGATTGTGTGTCATGCTGAATCGAACGTTTTTGATACTAGATCAACTTCTAAAGTATATATTTTTGCTTTTTATATTTTTCAATATATTTATTTTGTTTGTACAGAATAAAGAAATAATTTTTAACGATACAATAGCCACGATTATTATTTTAAAAAGTTTACGTTAGGCTTAACATCGACAAAAATTCTACGCGAAGCGATACGCAACTGAGAAAAATTTCAACATATGATAGGTTAATATATTTTTTCGTACATAATCGGTTATCCGAAAAATAAATTATCCAAACAACCCCAGTCCCCAATTGATTCGGATAAACGACGCTCTACTGTACTTTCATCAGCAGTTCCTAGTTCCTGGAAAAGTTCAGAACAACTTTGATTTGCCATGTTTTTCTTCTCCTTTCCCCTTCACATTCTCAGATACCAGGATTCAATTCTGTATATAATATAAATACATCTCAAACTTGTGGAAAACCAAAATGATAAAAATTAAGACAGTTTTTCCTTCTGATGTCTTTTTATGGATTAATATACTGCTGACAATGTGGCAAAAAGCTGCAGACTGACTCAATTTTTCAACATGCAGCAGGAAATCCAGATGGCATTGAGAAAGCACCAATTTTTTAAAAACTCATTCATTCACATATATATATTTTATTTATTTTATTTTTCATACAGCTCTAGAACTCCCAGAGCACTGGATATCTCTCTCTAGATTGCTCAGTTGATCCCATGGTATTACATTGCCATTTTTTTTTCTGCCTTTTGATGCTATGGCATGATGAGAATTCTAGTTGTATACTAGCTATTCTAGCTCGCTTTTATTAGTTAAGGTACAGTACATTCTAAGTAGCTGTTTTATTAAATGCTTGTAATTTTCTTTTTATCCATTTGTGTCCAATATTTTTGTATGTGTGTTGTGTTAATTTATCTTTATTTGTTAATTTTATAGCATTCATTGATTTGAATTTTGTTTTTAATTTTATTAATTAATTTTATATTTGAATTGTATTACATTCAAACTGATTTGTAGTTGTGACATGCCATCTGAAATTCAAATTTTGTTGCCTGAAGATGACCAATACAAAAGGCTGTTAAAACTACTTGAAAAGTTACTATAAAATTTTTAACATTGAAAGACATAATATGCTTCTTCATTTATAACACAGTTGATGTAACTGATATATAAATTTCATATCATTAGATAGATTAGGATACAAATACACAACCCTTTTTCAGGGAACTTTTTGTATACCCTATATAAAATAGGGTCTACAAATGATGAATGGTTCCAGATGGACCAATTTTATATAGGTCCATCTGGAACCTTTCATCATGTAATGGAACCATTCATTGTTTGGACAGTTTCATTTTTCGAATCAGTATAACACATGACAAAGATCTTGAGGACATCAGATTAATTCACTAGAACAACTGACATCTTTGATGTCAATTTTTCTAGTGAATTAATCTGTGGCTGGATCAGATCAACGTATTGTATTAGGTGTATTTGTAATCTTCATCCACTTTTAGAAAGATAATTGCTTGTAGATTAGGGTTTTCTAGAATAAAATTTAGGATATTTCATAGAATGATAAAATTACACTATAATACAAAGAATTCTGTTTAATTTAAATATGAAGACAAATTTAAACTAATTTGAAGATTTTGGATAAAGATAAGATTAGAATTTAAATTTCTTGAGTGAAATAAGCATAAATATTGAGAAATAAGCAAAAACTTCATTAAGCAATAAAATATGTATATGCAGTAGTAGTACAATACATTCAAAAAGAATATTTTAATATCCAAAATTAAAATCATACTATTAATAATATTTAAATAAAGATATTTAATTTACCTGTCTCATTTTTAAATTTGTTTCTCCATCTAAATTTGATGTCTCTATATAACACATTGCATTTGGTTCACTAAAAAACAAAAAAAAAAAATAAACACTATCAAATATTTCTAATAAACATATAACTATTTATAAATAAAATTAGTATTGATGTAACAAAAAAGGATGTCAAATCTTACAAAATATTAGATTATAATAATCATAGATTCAAACATAATTTATAATGATATATATACATACATACAAGAAAGACATCAGCTGTTCACAAGGTGTTTAACCGATAGAAAAAGAGGGTAAGAAAAGAGGGAAAGAAGAAGGGAGAGGAGATTAGACAGTAGAGAAAGGTAGGATCCCTCTGAATGATGTACATATGACTACAGTACCCTCTATGTTTGATGTTGACATGCAGTTTTTAAACTGCAAGGCTGTAGTCCCCCCAAAGGGTCTAAAAGAAAACCTGAGTGTAGCAAACACCAATAATTGAGTGCCACCATGAATAGCTAAGTGAAGAAGTTAGTGCCAAGTGGCTATTAGTAGGAAGACATATCTGATAATAAACTGAACGTGAGTGCAAATCTTAATACTATTACCAACTAGACAAGCAGTGTGAAAACAAATGAGCACAATGACAAACTAGACAAAACAAATGAACCAACAGAAGACAAATGAGCAAGACCCCAAATTTTTTTTTAATTTTAATGTTATTTATTTACTTTTTTAAACATTAACTTACTCACTAACTAAACTAACCTACCATTACCTAATCAGATGACTAAAGCTAACAACCCTAATCTAATTTAACCTAACCAGAAACCAAGCTAAAAGTCCCTAATCTAACTTTTAACTAGGACTAACTTAAACTAACCAAATTTAGACTGAAAAGATAGAAAATAAGAATTAAAATACAAAGTTGAAAGGCAGCTATATACTGACAGTTGAAACCAAGCAGGGGAAAGCTGTGCCCTCGGAGTGAGTGCTATCAAGAGCCCCAGTAAGGGATATGAATGCAAATAGATGAAGAAACATTGTGTGTGTGTGAATGAGTTGGTGTGGGTTGCAAGGCCAGTTGTATCCTTCAAGAATAACAGCTCTCATTAAACTATCCTTAATGTGATTGTACAGTACCTTATTGCAGTGAATAACTAAGTGAAGTGGTATTTGGTCTTCCTGAATACCATAATTGCATTGTGGATTGAACCAAAGGTTAAATCTATGCAAGTATTGCTAACAGTTGCCATGTCCTGTAAATAGTTGAGTGAGGGTGTAACTAGGGTAAAAGTGGCAAAGAATCGCAGTAGTGTCAACCTTGGGGATGAAAGTGTAGGTGAGCCTACCAGTGGTGTCATGGTCCCAGCTGTCTTGCCAGAGAATGAAGATTTGCTTCTTGACATGATTGTTGATGTATGAGGTAGGATTGTAACTGAAAGTACTATTGACTGAAGACTTTGCAGCTTGTTTGGCTAGATAGTCAGCAGTCTCGTTACCAAGAAACCCTCATGACCTGGAACCCATTGGAAATTTATTCTAATGTTGTTGTCTAAGTGTCTGAGATGGACGAGTTGTAAGCAGCTATCAGAGTTTGCAATCCTGTGTAAAGCTATCCTACTGTCAGAATAAATGTGATAGTGTAAGTAGTGTCTTTTGTCCTTGCTATGCCTAATGTGAATTAAGCTCATATAAATAGCTAAAGTTTCTGCCTGTGCTATTGAGCAGTGTGTACCTAAATGGAAGCAAGTATTGTAAAGCTCATGGCCTAAGTCAGAGTAAACTATAAAAGCAGCACCCACATCGTCACCCATCTTGGAACTGTCAGTGTAAATTCTAAACATGGGATGATCACATGGATCTTCGAAGTAAACGTCATAGGCAAGCTGATGAGAGGGGTGATAATCTTAAGTCAGGAGGGTATTTTTGTCAATGCTGAATTTTTTGATATCATTGATCAAGGTCAATCTTACCTACTCTAATCATTCTGTCAACATCCACGTCACTATAATCTCGCCAGGGTAAGGTGACAAGATTTTCCTGCCAAATAATGCATTTAATTTCTAAGTCGATAGGAGTCAATCCTGACATTACCAAAAGGGCACTAGTGGGTGTAGTCCTATAAGCCTTACAAATGCAGAAAGCTGCAATCCTTTCAACAGATAATAGTTTTTTATGGTTATGGACTTTGGTAGCCATATGACCCCAGACCTGCATGGCATAGAGGAGTGTTGGCTGAATTGCATCCCTGTAAATAAGCTTAGTAGTGTTAGGACCAAGGCCCCATGTGTTCCTAGCAATACTAATGAGGGCATTGGCCGTCTTAGCTTTGTCCATGATGTATTTGATGTGGTGTGAAGTAAAGTCTCTTGTCAAGAATAACACCTAAATATTTAATTTCTTTTGTTTGCTTTATTCTGTGAGCACATATTCAAAGGGTAAGCTTCCTGAAGAGTGGCACGTTCCTACAAACTATTATGCTTTTGCATTTGTTTGTGTTAATGATATATACAAAAACATTTTTAAGAATACAATCTCTCATTTTTATTATCTTTAATAATAAAAATCATTTCTGCAAATATTTAGTAGTAGAAACTAACACAACAGCACATGAAATTAAGAGAGAGGTTGTGGCCAAAATTCAAACTTTAAACTTGTACAGCAAGCAGAAGTACATATTTGACATTTGAACTCTGTAAAACACGTTGCACCACATGTTCACATTGCACACTGATTCATGGGATATTGTTGAAAAATAGCAAAAACATTTAAGAATGACAAAAATTACCAGCAAACATAAATAAACATATTAAACTATTTTAAAATATTTAGAGGATGTTTAACAATACTAAATTATTTTTGACTTTAATTGGCATTGTCTCTCTTACTATATGATATACGAAAATTCCAATGTGTTTTGCCTGTTCTCACAACATACTTTTGTTGAGGGAAGTAGTGGCTATAAATCCATATGCGAACGAAAATCTGAAAGCTGCTTGGAAAATACACCTAAAAATTTATAAATGTATTACGTTGTTGATAGTAAAAGATGCCATGAAAGTACAAACCTACTTTTATAGTGTTATGAACACAAATATATAAAAATTCTATAGGAACTTCACATCACTTTCAAAAACATTGAATAATTAAATAATTTCTGGACAGAAAAAACACCTTTAAAAAAATCCAGCAATGAAATTTAATAAATAACATTTTTGATCAGTTTAACTGATCATCTTCAGTTAAATTGGAATGTTAAAATAGAACATAAATACAAAAATTTAAAAATAAATGATAACAAGTATTCTAAAATAAATAAATAACTGAAATCGTAGTTGAGATTAATAAATAAGTAACTACAAAAATAAGATAAACAGTAAAAAAATAAAAATAGATGAATAAATGTCCCTTAAAATTAATTTTCATAAAAGGACCACCATGCGGTAGACAAGCTGCCCGCATCTCTATGATTGATGCAACTGGATTTTTTTGAGCTTTAAAAAACTCTGATTTTTCCAGATATCTCATAATGTGTATATGAGATTGGGTCTGATGATGGTTGCATGCTCCCATTGTACTTGTACGACCTGATGTTGCAAGTAAGCTTATTTATTAAATTTCATTGCTGGATGTTTTAAAGGTGTTTTTATTTTTTATTATAGTCTATCCAGTTGATAAAAATATGTGGATATAATTTTTGGATAAAAATTGTCTGTTTCTTCACGATATAATTCACAAATGCTTAAATAATCATTATTTTAATAAAATATGTCATAATTTTAACCCAAAACAAAAAAAAATGCAGATGTTTAAGTTAAACTTCTATTTGGCATGCTCAACGTTTCAAATGCCATTGTCAAGGATTATATGATGGCGACGCTCTCGTTTTAGAAATGAAAACTTTGGCCGCAACCTCTCTATTAAGTTATTATATTAATTANAAATCATGTACTGGAGTTTGTTTTATGGTTTCTTAGAGTATTTTGTTTTATTCATGAATTTAGCATGATTATAAAACTTTAGGTTTAAAAACCATATATTATATATATATGGTTTCTATCCTTTAATTCTTTTATGTAATTTTACTTGAAATCTGACTAATTCATTTCTTTTGAGATATGGTATTTTCTATTTGTATCTCAATATTAAGATGAATTTTATAAAATATACAAGAAATGAGAAGCAAAAATATTATATGACATTAAACATTATTGTGTTATATTTTTCAATCAATCAAAGCCCAAGGTCCAAATAAAGGAGAAAATAAAAATTATCTTTTAGTATATTATGAAACAAATTTTAACATAGTTTCTTACCTCTATGAAAAAACAAAAGAAATGCTTATAATAAACCATTACTTAAAAACTATTTATAAGCAGTGCAATTTTTCTATAAAAATGTTAGTCAACATTTTTATTCAGAACCTGATTTTCCAAAATAAGAGGAGACCTGCCTAGTTTGGCAAATTGTTTTAAACCACCAATTAGTTTTTCTTGTAAAGATTCTTACAGATATATAAATATAATTTTAGTTAAAAATTCTTCTTTTAATGGTGTTAAGGCATAATATAACCTAAATAGATAGAAAAAATTTATAGTCTGGGGCAGCATTTCTGAAACTTTGCTCACCCAATCCAATATATTTGTTTATAATGGTTCTGTGACCCAAATGTTTATAATATAAAAGTTTTTAAAAACCTGGTAAACTAGAGTCACTGTATATTATATAATGAAATAAAATTAAGCATTATTGATTATAACTTGTGTATGTGTGAAATGTAACATCGAGTACTTGTCTATTTAAGAATTCAGGCCAATTTTGATTTTTAAAAAGTAAGTTCAATTTCAACTTTTAATGCCTTTTATAACAGATGTTTTAATAGGCTTTAAAATACTTGTAAAGATTATAAAGGTTTATTACTTTCTGACTGTGCTATGTACAATAGTAACTGACTAATCTTTTATACAATGTGGTATTATATGATTCATAACAGAATATTCTACAATCTGCTATCACTCTTATTTTCATTTAAAAATATATTTATACTTCATTTTAGCTAATTTCTTAAAAGAGTCAAAAAATATTTTCCTGTTCAAAATATTTTTTCCATTATCATAATTTGAGGTAAATAAAAATGCTTCTATCTAAATGATTATGTAACTTCATTAATGTTGATGATGTGACCTCATAAGTTATCTTAAAAAGTTGGTTTTATCCACCTTATCAATTTCAGCAGGTGACATAATAAGTAATCAAATTCATCATTTTTTCTGCATTCTTTCTTTAAATTCTTATTTTTTTACCTGATGTTTCTTTTTATTCCTACCAAGGAATGAAAAAAAAAACAGTAACTTTTACAAGTAACAGAAACATTAAAGTTATGCTTATGTCTGTTTTAAACTAGAAGGATGAAAGAAAATAATGTTTTTTGCAAAGAAAAAGTTATTGAATACTTATATTATGCCAGTTATAGAACTTATACAAAAAAAAAACAGCTTTTAAAAAATATTCAAGTAATTGAAGTCACAAAGAAAACTTATTATATTTTTCAAATATGGATGAAGAGCTTGTAATGGAAACAAACTTTTTTCTATTAACCTCCTCATATGTGAATTAAGATTCCTCAAACATCTTAAAAATCTCATCATCTGTGATAATGAGATTTTTGAAGAGAGCAACACACAACCACCATTTTCAAGTTTGACAGACTTTGGCAACATAGAATCTATTAGAATCCTTTCTCTTTTCATATTCCTTCACTACAAAGAAGTCATCAAGTTTAAGAAGTGTCCTCAGTGAAATTGACCAATATGAAAACTTAGAAATAGATCTATTTAGTTACTTCAAAGTTAATTCTTCTTCAAATTTTGAGCCACTGATATTCATGGGATGAAATAGTCATTTTTGATGTGTTTCATTCACCCAGAAATTCATTATTATTACTTTGCAAGAAGAGATTAATAATCATAAAAAGAAGCATTCAAAATATGGGAGATTTCAATGAAAACTTAATGAAATTATAATAAGATCATAACACAATTGTTTAATAAAGTGAGTCTTTTTATAATATGACATCAACAGTCTGTCAAACACTGAAAGCATGTATTCAACCTCCATACCACAAGACTAGCATCTAAAACAGTGTTGCCAGTCTAATAAAACAATGTCTGTACTTTAAAAAATAATGTCCAAAGAGATAACAAACAAGTTCAGAAATTTCTCAATGCTAATTTTTTTCTGGCATGTTCAAAACTTTCTTTTAGTTTTGTTTCTATTCACCCCAATTTATAGTATATATAATTTGTTATTGAAAAAATAAGCAATTATTTTTATTAGTAAGATAAATAATTAATTATAACAACAGAATTAATATTAATATAGTAATATTATTATAAGATAAAATTATTGTTATTGTTTCATATTATCATATTACTTTTACAGTAGTTAAATAAAATTATTAAATAATAGTTTTATTTAACTACTTTATAACTTATACTTTATATTTACAAAATTCCAAAATACAATATAAACAATATATTAAGTGAACCTTTTATTAACAGAAAAAACAAATTCAAAGATTTTTTGATAAAAGTTTAAAAATAAATCAGCTTAATGAAACAATAGAGGAAATCTAACATGGATTCTTAAATAGAGAGGGAAATCTAACAACTGAGAAATATAAATATTTCTTGCTCATATTTCAGTAATAGTTTTAACAACACAACATTTATTATATATCAATTACTTAAATATTTAGAATTTTGCAGTATATTATAAAATAAGTAACTTACCTCGAAGATAATAATACTAAATCTGCTGGAAAAAACTGGCCATTTGTAACTTTAATAATATCTCCTATTGCAACTTTTGCCCATCTGATCAAACTCCATTGACCATTTCTTAATGCTACAATATAAAAATTACATATAAAACTTATATTTTACATTAAATTTGAATTATAAAAATACATTTCAATCTAAATAAGTATACTAAAATAATAAAAAATTTACAAGTTCTTCCAATAAAAATATCTCATTTAAGAATATGCTACTAAAAACTTTATGATTCTCTTGTTAACAAATAAAAAATTCTAGAGTTTGTTTTATATTCATGAACTGAGAATATTTTATTTTTGTTTCTACCAAAAATGATTTTTGGTTCTCTATAAATTGTCTTGGAAACCTTTGTTGTTTTTATAAATGGTCATTAGATTAAAAGCTGTCTACAGAAAATATTTTGAAATCTTGACATTTAAGCAAAATTTCAAAACTATTCAGGAGAATAATTTCTTAAGAAACCTGTGTTGTATTATTTGTAAAAGCTTGTAAAATTTTATATTATTTTTTTACTAGGTATTTTTCAATAATAAAATTAAATTAATAGTACTAATAAATAATGGCTGATAGATTCATCTTAATAGAGAATTCCTAAATATAACTTAGACACAAATTCAATAGATGGTCCTTTGGAAGATAAGTAGATAATATCATGAATTAATGGTTCTGCTAGAAAAACTAAGACAACTTTTGTGAAGGATTATATAAATCAAATAAATTTGAAAATGTTTTCACAGAAAAAGTTTATTTTTCAAAAATAGAACTGTATTATTTTATTGTAAGTAATTTAACTGCTAAGCTTGTTTTTCTTAATTTTTTATTCAACATTGTTTTGCTAATAATTTTTTATCATTTTTGGAAAATTGAGTAGAATTTGAAGTAAAAGAGTACCTCAAAATTATATAAAAAGAGATAGATAGATTATTATAACCAATTTGTGTAAACTAATTTTAATGTCATTTATAATAACTAAAGAATAGTTGCATATCAGACAGATATATGTTGAGCTGTTCACTATTATTAAGAACAGTACACTGCTATGATTCATCAATGAAAGTTTAACATTTCTTCATATTTTACTGTTCACATATACAAAAAATATAGAAAATTTTATGCATATACAGTAGAACCTCGATTATCCGGACTAATTGGGGATGAAGGTAGTCCGGATAAGGAAAAATCCGGATAATCGAAACAAATACTTCAATTTGTCTTTTAATGATAATACAACACGTTTTCTTTTCGATGACATATCGGTGATATTAAAAGTAAATACTGTATTTAAATCGTGGTCAAATTTTCAAGAAACAAACGTTCGTATTGAATTTGGACTACTACTGACCAACGCTAACAGACTACCTATTGTTTAAAAGGCCCTCTGGTGGCGCAAGAAGACGGATTTTATAAAATAAAAAGCAGTTGAAACTGCATTTTTATGAATAAAAATTTGACAAACTATTTATCGTTTTATGACGAGTAAAATTTTTTCGTCGCGTTCACGGCTTTTAAGTAATGCATAAACCTTCGAGGCGCGAGGCCCTTCGGACCGCGAGGCATAGGCGGTGGCCCACGTCGTCCATGCCTTACGCCGCCCTTGGTCATAGAAATGATGTAATTTGAATATAAATTATTTATAAATACGTATGTCAAGTTATATTTTTATTACTACGTAAAATATATTTAAGAGTTTACGACCACTGTGATGGGTGAGACGTTGTTGAAACAAAAAAAGTTATGCATTCCGTCACGTACATAAACAGTGTCGTAATTCGCCAAGTGCAAATCAGCAAATTCGTAAAATTTTTGTTTATTTTGAACAATCCGGATAATCGAAAATCCGGATAATAGAGGTCCGGATAATGGAGGTTCTACTGTACTTTTAATTTATTTTTCATATGAATAAACAAAAAATAAAGTTTAAAATCATACCTAATACTTTACTTTTGTTCACAGCATCATCTGCACGATGTCTTTTCTAAAAATACAAGTTACAATGAATGATATTTATTATTTTTGAAATGATATTTTATACATTTATAAGTAATTTTAGAAAATTACAGTATTATATAATCAAACTTAATTTCTTAATATATATGTAAGTAGTTATTATATAAAAGCATTAAAATTTAAGTCAGTTTTATCAAATTAAAATTGAATCAATAATTTTCCAAAAGGTGCTTAAGTCACAATGACATAATTTTGAATGATTCTCAATAAACAATTTTGAACTAGAATTGAGATTGCTATAGCTAATCTTGGTGGCCCATTAATATTGTATTGGAAGTAAGTTTTCAGACAATTAAATGAAAAAAAAAAAAAAACACTTTTTACAAAATTCACTTTACAAATGGGTGAACTTAATAACTTTTCAATGAAGAAATTTGCTCAGCTAGATTATATACTATATAAAATGTAATTATGCATTCTAATTCTTTCTTACTAATTTTTATCATCTCCCTCTGCCATAAATTTATGCTATTGCTTTCACACTTTTTTCTCCCTATAATCACAAAAATATTAATATTAAATACTACTATTCTGTATTTGTCATTATTTTTTTCTTTTACAAAATAAAACAGTGTGACATTTTTTGTAAAAATTTTAGAACTTTTCTCATTATAAAAATAGAAAATGCACAGTCTGTGAATGAATGAATGAAACAATATCTCTCAATCATTGTTCTTGATTAGTTCCTAATTGTTGCCATGCTCTCTCTCATAGATGTCTTCCATATTGATCTTACTGTAGAAATCTAAGAACTCTGGATCAATAGACTGCAGAATCTTTGTGATGTCGGAAATGTTCTTTTGGTTAATGGGAATGACATCATCATTGTACTTGTATATTAAAGATGTTAGAGACAACAAAAGAAATCTTTATTTAATTTTATACCAGCAACCTTGTCTTTCCATGTAGATATAGGTTTAGTTAAAATAGATTGACCACTATTCCTTGTTGCCTATGTCGTCTTGAGTATCCACCATAGTCACATGAAATGGCTTAGTATTTGTGGACTGGCAATAAAACAAATATAATGATTAAAGGTGTAGTTGTGATTAGTGTCACACATTATCTGTTTTGCAGAAGTGAAATCCTGATCATAAGAAAGATATAAAATATTGCTTTCTGAATTATTGCATGTCTTTTTCAGTGCATAACTGTTAGATTTCTAAAGGACTTTGATCCTCGACTAAAATCCTTTGGCAACTTAATTATATTTTCATATTGTTGTTACATTATTTTCAGGCATGGGATTTACATCTCTAACAAACTGCAGGCATCATCATTGCAAAACCACTGTTAACATAAAATGTGCTAATTTGTGACAAGCATCTTTGGCAAATGATTGGTTCAGTCAATATTAAATTATTATTATTAAATAAAAAAAGTAAATAAATTTTCTTCACAAAATTTGTATAAACTGAAGTATATGTAAAGAAAACAAAATACACCAAGGAACTATAAAATATGTAAGGAACCAAGTCTGAGCTTTATTTTTATTTTACTTTTATTTTGCTTTCATTATATTTTGTTTGGGGCTTATGTTTAGTTAAGACGAAGGTTTCCTCACCATTCACCTTAGTAACTTAAAAATAGAAGAAAAACCAACTCACCGACGAAAGAAAAGCGCCGTAGAAAAACTCGCGCACACTTGCGCTTCCCAAGCGGAAAAAAGTAAGTCCGCACCGAGAAAAAGGGGGGGAAGACCCCACAACCCAGTTAGGAATCGCTAAACCTTAAAAGAATAAAGCATCCCGATAATTGTTAAAAAGAATAATGTAAAAGGTTAGCGAAGTATTGTCGGAAAATAATCTGCCAGATAAACAAGAAAAATTTAATGTTACAGATAAGTATGTAAATGAGGAGAGTGAGCTCATTCAGAATTGTGACGTCACCTCACACTATAAAGCCTCTAACTCAAGTGAAAACGAACGAGGTGAATTCCTGATAGCAACGAGCTTTGGTGAGCTTCGTAGCAGTGAACGAGAGAGGTGTCCGATAGGATTTTGAAGTTATTCGATTTGTGGATCGACGATTATAGAAAGTCTTGAGAGTTTGAGGAAATAGGTTCCTAGTATATTGAGGTGACGATTAGGATCTTTAATTTATAAGAATTATTGTTTATAAGTTAATTCTTTGATTTTGTCGAATTCCAAAGGGGAATAGAATTAAGTTAGAAATAGATTGATTTGAGTTTGTCGGATTGATTCTTGTTGAATTTCATTGAATAAATTATTGTTTGATTTTTACTAAATACTGTATAAGTTAGAAGTTTAATTAAATATTTGATTTTGTTATTGACAAACTTTGTCATTATTTAATTCGGTGCACGCTTAAAGTCCAGGCCTGGCACACTAACGCGAATCCGCGTAAAGTACCCGTTAGGGAACGGCTATTTCCGGCACACAGTAGTGTCGATAATCGTTGGAAAGTCGGAAAAATAATATAGTACTTTACAAATAAACTTGTGAGATATGGAATTTTTGTGACGAAAATCCCGCTCTTTATTAACAAAAATGTTAATTAATTAAACTTTCGTTTATGTAACGCCCTAGAAGAAAAAACGATTTTTAGCCGGGATTGTGTAAACTTTCTGGTCATAACTAGCAACATCCATTGTTCTTTGCAGAACATGCATCTCATCTTGCAAAAAGGTTGACAGTTAGCATCCAAATTTCGTCATTTATTTAGGTCCCTGGAACACCTATAACCCCTAACCTATGAACATCTGATCACGTGATGGAAATTCACCACAAAAACCTATAAAAGGCCGTTCTTACCCCCTCTCGGGGGAGTCGCTTAACAAACGCAGGACTAACGACATCAGCCCGATCCTCCAAATCTGACAAATTCCAATCTCTGAAGATCTATCTCCAGTCCGCGCTTAAGTCACGACTGTATTTATTTAGTGCCCAAAGTGGATTATACACCGTTTCCAGGAACTCATATATTAGTGCCTCCAGATTATCAATAGACGTTGGGGAACTCTCTCTCTAGAGGTATGGAAACCCGGTGAACTCTCTCTCGCTCTGTCTATAACGGCTCGTTTTGATTTTTCCACGTCGTTAAACTGTACGGCTTCGTATATTTAGTTGCCGCCTGGTTAACCTGCTCCTTTAGAGCGGCATGTTTATCGAGCTAATATTATCTTAGATCGGTCCACCCGTGAGGCCGACACGGCAGATAAACATGGGTTTATCTGTAGAGTTACCAGTACAAGTTTATTTGTAGAGTGTGAAGTAGGTTGTTAGTTTCAGTATAATAAATTGTTATTTTTATTTGTTAAAAAAATGGTAGACTCCTTTACTCGATCCCGTCCCTCACCTTATCGTCGACCCCACATTCTCTCCATCCACTCGCCTGACATTTGAGAGTTAATAGGTCGTCCTTACAGGTGAACGAGAGCCTTACGCCCCTGTATTCACAAACTCCAGTAACTGAATTACTGATGGAAAGTATATACTAATATTTTTGAATCTGAATTTGAAAAAATCAAATATTCAAGACATTTAAAATGAAGTTCTGTGCATGTTCCAATTTGGAAATTTGAAAAAGATCCAGAATAATTATCAAAAACATTAGTCTTTATTTTTTAACAGTAAATCATGTACTGGAGTTTGTTTTATGGTTTCTTAGAGTATTTTGTTTTATTCATGAATTTAGCATGATTATAAAACTTTAGGTTTAAAAACCATATATTATATATATATGGTTTCTATCCTTTAATTCTTTTATGTAATTTTACTTGAAATCTGACTAATTCATTTCTTTTGAGATATGGTATTTTCTATTTGTATCTCAACATTAAGATGAATTTTATAAAATATACAAGAAATGAGAAGCAAAAATATTATATGACACATCAGTTTTAAGTGAATAAATAAATATATTAATTAAACTTTAGTCTTTCTTTCTTTGGAATTTCCATTTCTTTTCATAATGCTTAAACATAATAAAAATAAACTTAGTTTATTTCTGTTATGTTAATGCATTAATGTTTCATATGAATTAAATATAATAAATTTTTTTTCTTTACAGAAATTTTAATTTGATTTTTCAAATATTAACAGTTCCAAAATAACTTATTGAAAACTTTTGCAAAATTTTACACACACTATTCTATCAAATAAATTTTTTATTATATAAACTTAGAAGCTAAGATATTGTAAATTTAAGAAGTTTGGAATAAAAACCTTAATTTATAGTATCTTAATTTTCAAGTTTTATAGTAGCATATTTATAATGCATACTTGAAGCTTTTGACAATTATTGTGTGTTAAATAAATGTTACAAAATTTGAATTATTTCAGTTAAATATTTATCCTAATAGCAAAATTTTTTGTTTCAAATAAAAAAGTTATATTTTCTAATTTCTATATAAAAATAATTTTATTAATGTTTTGAACTACAGCTTTCATAAATTATACGTACTTTTATATTTTTAATTTTTGTTCTGTTTTCTAATCTGTAGATTAGAATGTTTGAAGAAATTAATATCAAAATTTGATTGTTACAACAAAATATTATTAGAGTTACTATTTGAAAAATTTTCATTCTATTAGCAAATAAAAATATAATTTAGTCAATCAAAATATTTTGTTTCTAAGCAGTGATGGCTACAGAAAAAATGGCTAACTCAAAATTTTTAAATATTTGAAAAATTATAAATATGTTTTATTAACATGTGCAAGACAATTTGTATTGCAGATGGTCCAATAAACCACATTTGCCATCATAAATGATTTTAAAAGCATTTTGAAGTTGAAATAAATGTTTTAATATTTTTTTTTTGTGTGCATCAATGGGGAGGACTTAAGTCTCTTAGCCCCATGGATCCACCCATTTCTAAATAAAATATTCTACATCTTATAAAATGCTATTTTTTGTGTTTAAAAAATTTGAAGTTAAAGAATATTTGGTGGTGTCATATTTCTATTACACAGACCGAAAAATTTCTTAATGGAAATATGATTCAATTTTGTTTGGAACTGGAAATGTAAGAGAATAATTTTAATTTTATGATCATGAAATAGAAAATACAGGACATTAATTTAAGTTATTACAATATCTATATAAGAAAACAAAATGGTGAAAATTGTTCAATTAATCACATCACAGGTTAATAAATATAATTGAATATAACTGAATTTCTTTTAAACATATTACAAGTATATTGTACACATACATGCACACACACACACACAGGGGATGCAAATGTTGGTGATCATACTATTATTTTTATCATCTTTTATTAGTTTGTATTCCTTATTTGTGATTTAATTTGTACATAAAAATAAATGTTTTTTCTTCCTGTATGTTTTTTCCCCATAACAACTGTATATCTACTTTTGCATCCCCTTGTATATGTTACTTATATTTTCACAAAGCAAATGAAGGATGATGATTTTGTTGAGAAGAAAACAAAATAAAATTTATTAAATAAATTGAAAATAACAAGTTAAAAGAAACTTAGAATGAATACTGAAATCACTTAGTTCTCTTCTATAAACATCTTGATGTAATGATGTAATGAAAGTAAACTTTTATTATGTTTAGAAAATTAATAAAATATTTTCAAATTCAATTAAAATGAAGTAAAAAAAAATTTTTAGAAATTCTAACAAATTAATTTAAATTTTATTCTTAGAATACAATTTAAATTAATTTGTTAGATATCATATGGGTATCAAAAATAGTTTGTTCAGCATTCAACTTGTTAGAACTAACTACAATATTTATGAATATCTAATTTTAACACAGTACTAAGTATAAAAAACTAAAATATATATTTCTGTAATTTAAACTTGATTCAATGTCTGTCTGTTTATCTAAATATAAATGTATCCCAGAAATTTATTGTATCAATATCAGAATATTATATTNTTCTTAGAGTATTTTGTTTTATTCATGAATTTAGCATGATTATAAAACTTTAGGTTTAAAAACCATATATTATATATATATGGTTTCTATCCTTTAATTCTTTTATGTAATTTTACTTGAAATCTGACTAATTCATTTCTTTTGAGATATGGTATTTTCTATTTGTATCTCAATATTAAGATGAATTTTATAAAATATACAAGAAATGAGAAGCAAAAATATTATATGACACATCAGTTTTAAGTGAATAAATAAATATATTAATTAAACTTTAGTCTTTCTTTCTTTGGAATTTCCATTTCTTTTCATAATGCTTAAACATAATAAAAATAAACTTAGTTTATTTCTGTTATGTTAATGCATTAATGTTTCATATGAATTAAATATAATAAATTTTTTTTCTTTACAGAAATTTTAATTTGATTTTTCAAATATTAACAGTTCCAAAATAACTTATTGAAAACTTTTGCAAAATTTTACACACACTATTCTATCAAATAAATTTTTTATTATATAAACTTAGAAGCTAAGATATTGTAAATTTAAGAAGTTTGGAATAAAAACCTTAATTTATAGTATCTTAATTTTCAAGTTTTATAGTAGCATATTTATAATGCATACTTGAAGCTTTTGACAATTATTGTGTGTTAAATAAATGTTACAAAATTTGAATTATTTCAGTTAAATATTTATCCTAATAGCAAAATTTTTTGTTTCAAATAAAAAAGTTATATTTTCTAATTTCTATATAAAAATAATTTTATTAATGTTTTGAACTACAGCTTTCATAAATTATACGTACTTTTATATTTTTAATTTTTGTTCTGTTTTCTAATCTGTAGATTAGAATGTTTGAAGAAATTAATATCAAAATTTGATTGTTACAACAAAATATTATTAGAGTTACTAGTAGTTTTAAACATATTTGAAAAATTTTCATTCTATTAGCAAATAAAAATATAATTTAGTCAATCAAAATATTTTGTTTCTAAGCAGTGATGGCTACAGAAAAAATGGCTAACTCAAAATTTTTAAATATTTGAAAAATTATAAATATGTTTTATTAACATGTGCAAGACAATTTGTATTGCAGATGGTCCAATAAACCACATTTGCCATCATAAATGATTTTAAAAGCATTTTGAAGTTGAAATAAATGTTTTAATATTTTTTTTTTGTGTGCATCAATGGGGAGGACTTAAGTCTCTTAGCCCCATGGATCCACCCATTTCTAAATAAAATATTCTACATCTTATAAAATGCTATTTTTTGTGTTTAAAAAATTTGAAGTTAAAGAATATTTGGTGGTGTCATATTTCTATTACACAGACCGAAAAATTTCTTAATGGAAATATGATTCAATTTTGTTTGGAACTGGAAATGTAAGAGAATAATTTTAATTTTATGATCATGAAATAGAAAATACAGGACATTAATTTAAGTTATTACAATATCTATATAAGAAAACAAAATGGTGAAAATTGTTCAATTAATCACATCACAGGTTAATAAATATAATTGAATATAACTGAATTTCTTTTAAACATATTACAAGTATATTGTACACATACATGCACACACACACACACAGGGGATGCAAATGTTGGTGATCATACTATTATTTTTATCATCTTTTATTAGTTTGTATTCCTTATTTGTGATTTAATTTGTACATAAAAATAAATGTTTTTTCTTCCTGTATGTTTTTTCCCCATAACAACTGTATATCTACTTTTGCATCCCCTTGTATATGTTACTTATATTTTCACAAAGCAAATGAAGGATGATGATTTTGTTGAGAAGAAAACAAAATAAAATTTATTAAATAAATTGAAAATAACAAGTTAAAAGAAACTTAGAATGAATACTGAAATCACTTAGTTCTCTTCTATAAACATCTTGATGTAATGATGTAATGAAAGTAAACTTTTATTATGTTTAGAAAATTAATAAAATATTTTCAAATTCAATTAAAATGAAGTAAAAAAAAATTTTTAGAAATTCTAACAAATTAATTTAAATTTTATTCTTAGAATACAATTTAAATTAATTTGTTAGATATCATATGGGTATCAAAAATAGTTTGTTCAGCATTCAACTTGTTAGAACTAACTACAATATTTATGAATATCTAATTTTAACACAGTACTAAGTATAAAAAACTAAAATATATATTTCTGTAATTTAAACTTGATTCAATGTCTGTCTGTTTATCTAAATATAAATGTATCCCAGAAATTTATTGTATCAATATCAGAATATTATATTAAAAAATAAAAATGTACACTTTAAAATTGTTTAAATTAATAAAAACTTACAATATCTTCTATTATTTCTTTGATTGCAGAAACTGTCAAAATAAATATCAATGGAACTGCTGTCGTATACCTTCCAGTAGGAGATACATTTGGAATTTGCTGAAAAATAATGTATTATTAAATGTCAGTATTGATTTAAATTATATACATTAAATTTTAATATGCTATATAAAATTAATTAAACATAAAAGTTATTTCTTACTTGAAGTAGTGCAATAAATAAGAAAAAAATATTTGAATATCTTCTGAACTGTTCAAATAGAAACTTTGGCAGAAAGGAAAAAAAATTATATTTTGCTGTACTGAAATGAAATGAAATAAATTATTAAATTTTAGCAAGTTTAAAACTCAATAAAACAAATTCATATAGTATATTTTGTAATTATATAGATATGTATATAATAAACTCTCAAAGTTAAAAAATTCAAGTGTATTAAAATTCTTTCCTGAATGAAATAAAAAGAATACAGGTAACCCCCATATAACACAGCACTTCTATAGCACCAATTCACTCTAACACGGTTCGAGAATTGGGAACATCCCCCATACAACACAGTGCTTTTATAGCACGGATTCACTCTAACATGGTTCGAGAATTGGGTAAAACCCTCATACAACATAAAATGTAATAAAGAGTGCGTTCTTTTATACTTCCACGTAACTCCACACGAGCATTCTAATTGTTTTCATGGCTACTTTGTATGCTCTTTCTACAATAATCCATTTAATGGTTAAATTTTACAATTGGGACCCTTCTTTTGCCTTTAAAAGCTCATTTTAGAATTATAGATTCCTCCACACAATACTATCAATAATGCGGGCACCACCATCTTTCTTTCACCGTCGTTCCTAAATGCCTACAAACAGCAGTGCACTCCCATTGCAGAGCGACCATTATTAACGAACGCACCCACAAACTGTTCCAGTTGATGATGCTCATGCTGAGATCATCATATAAAATGAATAATCCTCTGGTAAAATATTTACTTAAATAATAAATATTTTACCTATGAAAAAAATGAATAATAAATCTGATTTAAATAAGGATTTAACAGCATGCTTTTTTAATTTTTGGAACCTAACCCCCCTTTTCATACTATTTCTTTGTTTCGTATAACATGAATTCACATAACATGGCAATTTTTTGGAACGTAACTCCCGTATTATACGAGGGTTACCTGTATAGTAAACTTCAGGTGACCAGAAATAGATAAAAATATTTATTATTTAAATAATAAGAAAACTGTATTCTAATTAAACTATACTTATATATATAGTTACATTATAATCCAGTAATTTGTATTATGTTTGTAGTTAAATTTTTAAAATAGCCTGGGCAAAATCTTGCTAAATAATCTTGTACATTCTTAATAGAGAATTAAACAGAATCAACACAACTTTGTTTTGTTTTTATTACAGTCATCAGTAATTATGTATATTACAATATACTTCAATTATTATTGAAATACAATAAAATTTATACAATAATTACTTTTAAATGTAATACAAGCTTTAACCTTTATTCTCATTAATAACTGCATAAATTGTAATACAGGTATCCCTTCATTAATGCAGTTAATTAATCCCTCAATCCTACTAAGTATATCAAAATCATGTTAATCAAAATAAGATATCTAAGTTAAGTAAAGACAGCTGGTAAAGCCATATAAATTAAAACTTCTGCCATGTTTATAAAGAGATTGCCACAATTAATTTCATGCATTAATCAAATCCTGTGTTAAGCAAGGGATATCTGTAATTTATGTTAAATAAAATCAAAAAAATTAAATATCTAAGTAAATTGAATAAATTTGATTATTTATAGACATATTTTAAGTTAATATTCTAAACATGCATACTACTCTTCTCTTCTGATATAATCAAACCTTATTTATCTCGATTAAATGGGATCAGACCCAATCTGGAATAATAAAAATCCAGTTAAAATCAAAATTAATGGGTATTTAAATTAGTCTGAAATTTTATACTGAAAACCCTTTTTAATGTGAGATCCGAATAGCCCCTGGGTCTAATTAACAATTTAAATTATAAAGTTAAATCTTTGTAGTAAAATATTCTTTCATTTTGGTGTGAAATTATCATTTTTCTAACATGGGAAAACTGATAAAACAGCCACTTCCTTTAACGGAAGTTGAAGCACCTTTGTTTTCCACTTATCTATCACAAATCTCACCACACTGGGAATTGTCGACCCCTCAATAATTCCCCTTTTCATCTGTTCACGTGAGTGAAGACAAATCAGCTGATTAGTCACAAATCATGAGATATAGTCAAAGATCTGCATGATTCGGGGAGTACTTCCGAAGATCTCATAGAGAAAGGAGGTATCCCATATTCGCTCCCGAAGGCCAACGCCCTTAGTTAGGAGTACGAAAAGGATCTCAGATAAGACCGACATAATCCATAATTGCTCCACAACACTCAGTCGTATTCAGACAAGTTAATAACGAGTTAATTTAGGAATAAAAGAAGAAACATTTAATCTTGGGCCAAATCAAGACCTCTCCATGCAACGAAGTGAGATCAGCAAGAATACAGATGAACATAAAGATAAAGTAAACTTTGAGGTAGTGTGAATATAAATGAATTTGTGAGCTCTCTCTCTCGAAGCGTATATTTAATTAATCCATTGTCTCATTCGTTTAATTATATTTTGATTTATTCCATTTGTGTAATTTTATTTACTTTTATTTTATTAAATCTTTATTTATTGGATTAAAGAAATGTCTCATCAATGTCTGAATCACATACATATTATCTCCACACACGTGTTAACCCACGTATCTAAATATGATTAACTGGTCTCGGGAACCTGACGTAGGAACAAAGAATTGTGAAATCCTTTAGTTCCGCTTTAAATTAAATATTCAACTGTAAGTGCCTCCGCACTCGAATTTCCTTTGAATGAGGAAAAGCCATTCTTTTTGACAACTCAGAACTATTCTCACGGAATAGACGCCGATTAAGTGATACTCAAGTAATAAACTACTCCGTATCCCCGGCTAGAATCTCACATTAATGATTGAAAATAAACTCACATGATTTACTAACTTGAAAACAATAGGAACATTAAAATTACTCAGTACATATAAACAGCATGTATTTTTATCCTTACAAGTATGAGATGACTTACATAGGTACTGGTACATACATATTGAGGGTGTAAATAATGTTTCAATGATCTCACAAACACTGTAAAAAGTAATAATTTTTCCATAAAATGTATAAAGATTTAAATAGAAATGACTATTCAAACCAATCCAGATATTCTGGAAATTAAAATGAATGGAGTTTTACTGTAGTTATTTAATAAGAACTGCTTACATTTATTGCTTTATTTAATATTTATTAAATAAAGAGTCCTATTGCATAAATATAAATTCTTAAATAATGTAATAATTTTCAATAAAATTTTATTTATTAAACAAAGCAGAAAAAAAATGAAGAAAAGTTAATTAAAGAAATGTCACTTAAACTGTTTCATATAGCTTGTCAATAAATCATAAAATATTTTTCAAAAAAATAAAATTATTATACAGAATATTAAAGGTTATGCCATCATAATCTTAATTATTTGATACTGCAACATAACATATCAAAAACTAAAAATAAAAAAAAATAACTAAATCTAGATATTTTAAATATTCTGAATACAAATACTGTAATTTAAAAAACAAAATAACCACATAAATACATGTTGAACTTTCCACATGTGATAAATAAGATATTTTATAAATTATTATTTAAAAAATTAGAATTTTTTTAATAAAAAATTTTCTGAGAAATGATTCAATTTATGCTGTTTAAAAAAACTTTCAACTGTTATTGAACCAAAAAATCATACACCAAAAATATTTTTAGTACTATTCAAGTGCCAGCTTCTTAACAAACAAATGATCAATAATTTAACAAAATATTTTCAAAACAAATTCTGCTATATAATAAATTGAATAATCTTTTTCCTTATTAAATGTACTACATATGATTTCGAATAACTGTCAAATTTAATAATGTATCAAACACTAATTTAATTAATTACCAGATCAACTTAAACTATAAAATATAGAAAAAATAATTTATCCATTTATTATTATTATTATTATTATTCAGTAAATATTTATTTATTTCATTAAATTTACAGGAAAAGTCTGGATAAATATTATTAAATGCATTTAAAAATAAAGATCCTTCATATTCAAATAGATTTACCTTATTCTGTTTGAACAAAATTTTTGTTTCTGTGGTGCATTTATTGAAATAACTCTATGTTCAGTAATGTCTGGCTGTTCAGTAATACCTGAAGTCTGATCATCATCATCGTCATCTGAAAAATATGATCCCTTTAATTATTCTGAGCAATTTTCTAATAAAATGCAGTTAATGTAAAAATTTATTTTGAAAAAATAATGATTTTGGGCATTTGACCTTGTGGCATTTTGCCACTTCCAGACTACCTTCTATTAACTGGAGGATAGCCAATAAGGTTAATAAAAACAGCTGTTTAAGTATACAAGTCATTCTTTTTCTCATAACAGAAAATGTTTAAAACAATTCTAAAGTACATAGAATGAAATAAAATTATTTCATTGTTAATTTAAATATTACAATTTTAAATTATTATCTATTTCTATTAGGTCTTGGATATTTTAAGATAATAAGTACTAAGTATATTTATACATTTTTAAATATTTAAACCTTCTCAATATATAGATAATAATTGCATAAGTAAATATCTGAAATATAGAAATAATATTCAATAGAAATTCACTTATAGAAATTTATTTGCCTTTAATTAAAAATAGATTAACTTCTATTATACATAAATTTAATATTTTAAATTAAATATTTCACATAAATTTAAAGTATTTAAATCTATTATTTTAATTTTAAAAAACTAAATTTCAAATCCATATAATGTAAAGTTTTCATGCAATTTCATTCAAACATTATATTAATGAAATATAAAACACAGCTGTTAAATAATTGTAATGATAAACAATTCTAAACAATGACATGCAAATTTTTTAAAGTATTATTTACTACTAGATTCACACAGTTTGGATCAATATTTAATATTACAATATATCAGAAATATGTTAAAGAAGTTCTGAAAATGTCAAAAATTATTTTCCAATTAAGCTAACTATTTATTATGAAAATTCAGTTCAGAAAATTAAATAAACAAATTATATAAAATTATCTATGATTATAAAATAATTCTCCTTACATTAAATTTTATTTTCTTGCAGAATAAAGCTAACTTAAAGTCTGAAGCTTTTAGAAGGAAAATAGAAATTTACTTTAATAACAGATATTCTATTTATGTTTGTAACGTACAAACTAAAATAGTTATAAATACATGACAATAATTTATTTTTATCGTTAATACTCTACAAATAAATCCTTATATTTTATTTTAAGCAAAAAAATATTTTTATCTTAATTTTTTCATTTGCAGATTTATATAAAATATTGAAATTNATTAGAATTTACTCTGTATAAAAAACATTTTATACAGAGTAAATTCTGATACATTATTAATAGGAAGATAAATAAAACTGTAAAAATGCTATACAAAGGGAACAAGCCAACATTTATTAACAGAAAATTTTTTTGGGGACTTCCTATCATACAGATGATCTAAATCCTGAAAAAACATTATCTGTTAATAAATGTTGACTCCTACATTTTGTATAGTAGTTCTACAATTTTCTTTGCTTCTACATGCAGTTGATAAACTTCAAAACTCTCTCTTTCTAGTTAAGCAAAGAAACAATATATTTTATAAAAATAATATCACTGTATACTTAGGAAACAGTACTTAGTGTACAGAATAATTTATGCTCAAAAAATTCAAAATCATTAATTTATCTTAAACAAATTATATGCAAATGCCTTTCATTTATTAATTCATCATAAAAGATGAATAATAAAATCCCTATAACACTAATGTTCTTCAAATTTAAATGAGCTAAATACATCCAATTCTGTTAGTATATAGACTTTTAAACACAATTTTGATTTAACATGGTCTGGAAAATAACTCAATTCTCTCTTTACAAAATTTGTTTTGATCTAACATGTTTCAATAATTTGTCATTTTAAATATTTCATTTCTAAGATAAAATATTTACTTCCTTTTCTAGAAAATTGCTCTTTCTAAAGAAAAGTTCTTAGAATTTGCATTTAACACACATGCTGAAATAAATTTAAAAATTTGGCTGTTTTTTATTACTTATTTGAAAATGTGTAGTGATAATCAATCAGTCTTTCATTCTGACTTTATCCCATGATTGAAGCAGTCATAAAAATTTAATTTAAAGTCTGATGTATGTATAATTGCATTTCTTCTGATTTCCTTCAATATGGTGTCCACCAATGGCTAAGTAGATAATACCACTCAATACATTCAGTTGGTTAGAGTTCACACATGACCAATAACTGGCCATGTGGAGTTTACTGAATTTTCTTCATGTGTCTAACAACTAAATAAGGGCCAATTTCTCAGAAAATTTCCCTCTCCTAGGCAGATGTCCACATACTGCATTACTGTATCCCATCAATTCAATCCAATCCTTTCAATATGTAGTAGTTTTTCTATGCCTATACCATTTAGTGTTAAAGTTAGTGTTTAATTATATTGTGTTTAATTGAAAAAGGCAAATAAAACAAAATTAAAATTTTATACAAACAAATAAGAATCTGGCATGAGAAAATAATTATCAGAAAATTTTAAAAACACTATCTATTGGCATTAATAAAGTGCTTTATTAATGCCAACAGACAGTACTCTTAAACTTCTATTTGTGTAAACAATATATATTTATTAAATTTTGCTAATAAATTAATTGTAATTGTTCCTCTGATTTATTAACTAAACTTGAAATATTTTGTTTAAATATATTCTATTTTATTAACTCATTTATTGTATTATTCATACCAGCTATAGGCTGGAATCTTCCTTTTTTCCATAGGGACAATATTGTTTTCTATACTTTTATTTTTTTACATAATTTTTCAGGAATGTATTTATCATATAAAGACAGAATTGAGCATATATATAATACATAATGAGAAAAACAGATTTTTCANATAAAAATTTAATTTAAAGTCTGATGTATGTATAATTGCATTTCTTCTGATTTCCTTCAATATGGTGTCCACCAATGGCTAAGTAGATAATACCACTCAATACATTCAGTTGGTTAGAGTTCACACATGACCAATAACTGGCCATGTGGAGTTTACTGAATTTTCTTCATGTGTCTAACAACTAAATAAGGGCCAATTTCTCAGAAAATTTCCCTCTCCTAGGCAGATGTCCACATACTGCATTACTGTATCCCATCAATTCAATCCAATCCTTTCAATATGTAGTAGTTTTTCTATGCCTATACCATTTAGTGTTAAAGTTAGTGTTTAATTATATTGTGTTTAATTGAAAAAGGCAAATAAAACAAAATTAAAATTTTATACAAACAAATAAGAATCTGGCATGAGAAAATAATTATCAGAAAATTTTAAAAACACTATCTATTGGCATTAATAAAGTGCTTTATTAATGCCAACAGACAGTACTCTTAAACTTCTATTTGTGTAAACAATATATATTTATTAAATTTTGCTAATAAATTAATTGTAATTGTTCCTCTGATTTATTAACTAAACTTGAAATATTTTGTTTAAATATATTCTATTTTATTAACTCATTTATTGTATTATTCATACCAGCTATAGGCTGGAATCTTCCTTTTTTCCATAGGGACAATATTGTTTTCTATACTTTTATTTTTTTACATAATTTTTCAGGAATGTATTTATCATATAAAGACAGAATTGAGCATATATATAATACATAATGAGAAAAACAAAGATTTTTCAAGTTTATAAAAAATTTATTTTTAGTTATTTATTTAACAAAATAAATTGTGATTTCTCAAAAGTATATTTGAAAAATAAATTTATAATAAAATAACTAAGAAAAAAGTATATTACATATATGCATTATTGATAAGTAAAAAGGATTAGCTGCAATAAATAATTTTTCAGTATCTATTTATAAGATTTTTTTATTAAATTATCTTGACATGATATTAAAAATTTATAACTTTTTGAATGTTTTAAAGAATTGATTAATTCTTCACATTAAGATTTCACATGAAATAATTTTTTTTTCGTAAACGTATAATTTAAAATTAATAGAAAACTAACAAAAATGATTCATTCATATTTGATACAGAACACTTAATAGTTCTATTTAAAATTTTATGAATTATATTAATTAACTACAAAACAATTTTCAAATATTTTAAATCAATGATTTTTCTATATAAATTATACATGTATATGAATAATATAATAAAAATACATATAAGATTAAACAAAAAATACTAAAGAAAAACTGAGTTATTATTATTGCAATGTTGATACATTAGAAAACATTTGTAGAGAATAGTTTTTTTTTAATATCAAATCTCTAAAACGTGCAATACAAAAGCTTTTCAAATGCTTTCTTACATCAGAATTTTTAAATGCATAAAAGAAAATAAAGTTAAAAAAAAAAATCAATAACTCTACAGGTCTGTGGAATATCTATGTTATCTGCTTTCAATTTAACATTACTTTACTACTGCAAAAAATATATAGCAAAGAAATTTATACTACTAAAACAATCCAAACTAAAAAAACTCCATCTAGCAGCTTTATATCACTTTAAATTATTGAATAAAAAGTTACTAATACTTTTAAATATATTACCAAGACAATGTTTTATATCTTTAGAAAAATCTGACAAAGAAATATATAAAAAAAAATTTTTTTACAAAAAATTAAGCATCATTTAATAAATAAATTCAAAACTCCTTAAAATAGATTATTTTAAAAATAAATAATAGCTAGTTAAATGTATTAAGTATCAATGATAGCAGTTCTAGCCTTTTCCAACAGGAATATTTTATTTATCAAATGTTTTCAGATGACTGGACAGCCATCCTCAATATTAAGTATCACAGAGTTATAATAAAAACAATTGATTTTAAAATGCAGAAACAACAAATGGAGTGTTTATTATTAGAGTTATGAATAAATAACCTTATACATAAATATAATGAATATAATTCTCTTTAATATTATGTAATTCTTAATAATAAATATGCTATGAATATTTACAGTATTTGTTTTATTAGTAATTAAATTTAAACTGTGATCTATTATAAATATTACATATAGTTTGTTTTAATTGTATATATATTTATGTAAAATTGACTAATTCAATTATTTAAAAAGTTTTAATTTAATCGTGCATTTGAAATGTGTAATTAAATT